TGTCAAAATTATTAATTTCTGCCCAACCGGCGTGTTGGTACGGTATGTACCGCACCGTACGGGTGAAAGTTTAAATTTTGCGACTTGCCGTCGGATTGTAAATATGGTTGACAGTCACCGTCCGATCTCCGAAGAACAACTATTGTCAATCATTGAGTCTGTCATCAACAGCCACGCGTCGCACAATCCCTCGATCAAATCCGTACGCTTGAAAAGGAGTGTTGGGTACTTGATAGAACCTGCGATTCAACCTAGGTGCTACGGTATATCCGTGCGTTGATCAAATACCCAAACTTGGAATATCATCTCATCTACCGGGCACAGGTGTAGAATCCTTTCAAGAACGCCGAATTTAGAATTGAAGGTCTGTTTCTAAAGAAATCGTAGGCTTCGTTGGCACGCGGGTGTTATCTACCCGACAGACCGGCGCGACACCCCGGTCACGGCGGTCTGACAAATCCGTGACCGGTGTGTCACGGGCCAGAATGCCCCATAGGTGCCTTGTGTGATCGACACGTATTAAAAGGCTTTCATGCATGATCATATTTCTCGGAAGTAATCAGCTTCCAAGTTCATGTGTGACTCTGGCGATCGCGTCGACCGCGGACAATTTGGACCGTACAAATGTGGTCCTGCAGACGATCCGAATGCAGGCCTGGGCACTGCGGCATTGATTCTATTGTGATGTCCCTTGTACTGATCGAGCATATGCAAGGCCTTTCGTCAGACTTTTGGTTCATGCACATGACGCGCTTGAGCTGATGCTCATCCAAGTCAAATCAGGCGGGCTGCCAGAAGATTAGTTGGCAATTCTCGTTTAAATGTACGATCAAAGCATCGTCTTAGATTGATCGATGTCGACCACTGGTCGCAAGTAGTTCTCGTAAGTAGCTCTATCCTTAGAGCATGTCTTCGTCCAGAGACGTACATATACTGCAAGCAGCGTTTGACCAATATTCGCCTCCGGGCCTACAGGTATGCACACCCCATCCGCGTTCTGCAAGAAGACAAGCTATTGTTGCAACGAAGTAACAACACTTTGCAACCTTTGACAGTGTTCACACATTAACCCCGTACCTACTGTACTTCAATCCTGTAAGAGCCACCCATTCCTTTATCATTATGGATACACAAGCTGTTCAACAATATAGTTGAACTCGACATGCTGCTAATTCTTGATACCTACTCCCGTTCGTTCCGGACGGTCTCTCCCTACTCCATCTTGGGAACGACGAGCATCTCTCCGTATCCGTAGAGGGTCAAGTGGTAGGCCTCCATGTCCTTCTCGTACTGCTGCCATTGAGGGAGCACCTTCTGGTTGTACAGGCCCTGCTGTTCCGGGGCCAAAGCCTGCAAAATCGACGGCGAACGTGCTCAGCACATGGTTAGTGCTAGAGTCTGACCAGTCTTGAAGCGGATGCGAGAGCTCGAATGTTCGTGTATCCCCAATCGCCTTTGAGAAATATCTGGGTCGATGTGCCAAACAGCACGAAGGTGGTGATAACCTGGCAGCTGTGCATATGCGATCGGACATGACTCGGATGGAGTGGAAAATGCGCTTGCAGTTAGTCAAAACACAGCTTAAGAAGACCAAAGCTGATTCGTATAAACTCAGTCCCGTCACCGGCAACGGCCAATCAGAGCTGAGAGAAAGTAATTCTGAAGCTCCAGTTGGCAGTTCTCACCTTCCACTTGGCAGCGATGATGGTCGCCAGCTGTCCGAATGTCGCCTCCGGGTTAGCGGCCTTGACCTCGTTCCTGACCTCGTTACTACAGGAGAAAATGCAGTAAATATCGAAGATGCTCGTACATCGTCTGGTTTTGATACTATGATTCGTTAGATGACTGCAGACGCAAGAAACTTTGCTCACAAGCCAGGTACACTTATTGACAGTCAAGCCATGTCGCCATTCTGTAGATTTTTCTCGCCCAAAAGCGCCGCTCCATTCCAGAAAATGGAGAGCAGCGGCTTTTCTGCAGTGGCTTTCTCCTATTCGAGTTCCATACCGGTAGGCCAGCCGAAAAGATGCAACCGTTTGAAACGATGAGGAAACCGTCCTGAAGGTTGGCAATGAAGTCAATACCGACACTACGTATGGATACGATCCAAGATTGGTCGAAGGACTAGCATGCCGACTGGTCTGGCGCTCACCTGAAGAGCAGGTAACCACTGAGGGGGCGCTTGGGCTTATTGGGGTCCCGCTTCTTGCTCTCGCGCTTCTCCTTCCGGTCCAGCTTCGCCTTGGCGATGTCGGCAGCCTCCTTCTGTAGACCCAAAGAACAACCCGCAGAACACGTCAGAAGCAACCTCGAGAACGTCATCAAGAACTCACTTCTCAAGCCTGTTGGACAACACGAAGTCTCCCTGTTTCAGATATGAATTACGCGATCGGCAACAATCGTCAGGAGCAGATGCGTTCCTTCTAAGGAGTGTCTTTCGAAGCTTGCGACTAGACGAATACAGACCTCGCTTTAACAATGCGACCATGACGAGAGGGAGCTCATTAGCAGGCGCAGCAAAGCGTCCGACCCCGATGTACGCGATAACCCTTTATGTGGTGCATTTGCAAGTCGACCAATCTGAGACCAACTTCAAGGGTTTCCCAAACCATGCATATCTGCCTATTACGCTTTTCTGCGAGCGCCTGACCTGCTTAAGCAGCTGAAGTGCGGTCTTCTCCCTCTCCTGCTGGCTGTACAGCTTGAGCGCCTCCGCCTTCTCCTGCGTGTTGCGCTCCTTCTGGGCCTCCTTGGCAGCCTGCTCATCCTGTGGATTCGGAACAGCAGAGGACGGGTCAGTGATTGGAGCCTACGACAAGAAAAGATGCGCTTAAAAGTATACTCGAGCAGGAAAGCAGTGGATGCCAGGTTTGGCTTGGGTTGATATCGTTGACATTTTACTTCTTCTGTTGATTCAAGACAACAAAGAACGGGTGACAAATCAGAGCCCGCGCCAGGGAGAGAAACAATGCGACCCGTCAAGTATGAACGAAGAGTGGTGGCTTCCGGATTCAGCGGAAGTAGACATTGTATTGGCACGAGGTCTTTCTCAGGTTTGCAACAGACTCTCTGACTCTCAGTCTAGGAGAACTGGAATCAGTACGTAGGGCGCATTTATTGCGTCGATACGAAGTGGCTTGACGACTCAAGTTACTTGAGTTCTGGGTTGGCGGCAGGAAAAGACTTCTCAGAGTTCGATATTGGCGAGCTCATGCTCGTCAGTGGTAAGCGGCTCCACCTGCTCCTTCTTGGCCTTGTATGCCTCCATCTCGGTCTTGTAACGGGCAGCATCCTCAGCAACCATCTGCGATGAGAGACAAGGCGTTCAGTTCAGCAACTCAGTACAAGAAAACAGTCCATTTGCAGATGCTACCGAAAAGAAAGTTACAACTCACTATCTTGCTACAAACAGGATCAAGGATCGTGCGTGTGCTTCAACCTTGAAACTTCTCCTGACAACGCAACAATCTGCTGAGTCGTTTCTTGGAAGAGGCAAGGCCCCTTGCCGCCGAATAATTTCGTAAGCAATATAAGCACCTTCCAATACCTGGAAGAGCTGAACACTCCATGCTCCGAAAAACGAAGATAGACAGAGATTCGTAAAAGTTGTCCCAGTGCTTTGTCTGCACTGGCAAAGCTGCAACTGCTGACACGTTATACCGAAACTCAGTGCCCTTACCTTCTCGTACTTGGCCTTCTGCTTTTCAGACAGCTTGTTCCATTCAGCCCCGAGCTGCTTGCCGACCTGCAGTGGAAGTTCTAACACATCACTCACAATTTTGTACAAGACAGCAAACACCTTGTGGGCAGGCAGAAGACGTCATATGAAGCTTCTGTAGACCTCAAAGTAACGTAGTCGTGATATTGGTCTATTGGAGGGTGCCCCAGTTGAGAGGAGGCACTTCTTGCGTTTGAGAGATCTGAAAACAGAGCATAGAAATAGCATTGGCTATATTCCTTGAATCTGGCTTGTCCGAAAGTGTGTACCTATGTATAAAACAGTGGAAAGAGAAGGGCACCAACCTCGGGAACTGAGAGCTTCTGGTCGCCGGCCTTCTTGACAATCAGCGGGCGCCGCTCGTTAGCGAAGGCCAGGAAGGATGTGAGGGGCCGCTTCGGCTTGTCAGCATCCTTCTCTTTCCTGTAGTACAAGGTGGGCACGGATCAGAAACCTTGACTTGGCGACCGTTTTATCAAGCCGTAGGGACAGAAGCTGGACGGATGGTGAGGAGACTGGTCAACAGTACTTGTAAAAGAGAAAAGGGATACAACATCCATCAATCTACAGGTTCCACTCCATCATTGGCAAGAAAAAGGTGGCCTGCAATTGCGGTGCAGTTACAGAGGCTTCAGACAATTGGAGGAAGGTGAGCGGAATTGCAGGTTCTTACTTCTCCTTCTTTGCACCAACCACTTGCTGCAACTCCTGCAAAAGCACAGTGTTTCGATGAGACCAAGAAAGGTTTGCGTGCCAAGAGCATCTTGTTGAAGCCACTGGGCACAAGGTAGAGCCACTCATGGGAGACTCTGAGGATTCTCTGTTGAGGAAGAAGACGCTTCTTATTGGGGCTCTTTCACATCATGCACTAGAACGAGAAGCAAACATTCGGACCAAGTGATCTTCTCCAACGTGACAGGTCGTTATGTTCTGTGCATTCATCTGAATCACAAAAGAGTCAAAAGTTGCCTGTCTGCAGCAAGTGGCCTCTAACCTGTTGGTACGTCTCGAACTGCTTCCACAGCTCCTCCTGCGCCTGACCCTTCTGCACGAGCCGGTAAGCAGCGACGGCGTCTGCCTCTTTCTTCTCCTCTGCCAGGATCTGACAGCAGCGAAGTAACAAATGTTTAGATTTTGTCCGGTTTGCAGCACGTGGTCAAGGCAATATCTCTGACATAGCTTGCGCCATGACACACAAGCAGCCAACAAAAATCGAACACGAAAGACTACCATGGTAAGCTTGATATTTGGCTCAGTCTTCAAAAGTCTGATTGAGCAAAAGTATACAGTACTCTGGTAGGTTAAGCTGCAGTACATGATGATGATCTGTCCAGACTCCAATCCTGCCTTACCTGCTCATACACCTTCTTCTCTTCCTTGTACACGTCATTGAGGGACTTTGCCTGGTCCTCGTACGGCTTCTTCTTCTCAGCAGAGACATTCTTCCACTTCTCACCCAGCAGGGTGCTGAGCGCCCCAAAGCTGGCCTCAGGATTCTCCTTCTGGACCTGCAAACAAATGGACACAGCAACTGATCAGGCGGCGTTCACTTGAGGCTTGCTCATGATGGATGCAAATGAACACAGCTGAGCTGCTTTAATCTGTTGGCACCATTTAGCTCAGGAGACGCAAATTGAGATGAATGTTTCAAATTTTATGATGGGAATGTGCAGTGTAACAACGCGTAAAGCTAGTTCATCTTGGAAAATGTGCAGTATTTTGAGCTGCATTACCTGCGGGCGCTGGTCCTTGGACCACAGGACAAAGGCAGACAGAGGTCGGTGAGGCTGCCGAGGGTCTTTCTTCTCCTTCTTGGTGGCAGCTTCCTCAGCAGCCTGGAGCTCTACTGGCTGCAATGAGATGGAGAATTGTTCATATCGAAGCATACTTCAATCATAGCCACATGTATGGTACAAGCCACAAGCCAATAATATATCATCCTATGACGCTATGCATCAACCCAACGACCATCTTTGCTCAAAAAAGAAGAGTCCCTTCAAGACTCTGCTAGGAAGATTTTTAGATGGCCAGTTTTCATGCTCCCGAATAGGTATGCTTTCCGGAAGGAACTCGTTTTGTTGTCAGCATCAATTTGTGATTATGTCCTTTCACAGGATGGGTGAGCTCTTGTCACTGAAATGAGACACAAGATAGACAGAGGATCTACGTTATCAAAATGATTTGCTGCGCAGCTCCATTCACTCTCTTCCAACTCAAATGTTACCATGCTTTCCCTGCTCCATTGGATCCCATTCTGCAATGTACAACAAAATTAGCAAGCAGTCTGCTCATTTGTAATCCTGTGCTGCAAAAGAACGATACCGAAGGCGAAATACGTATCCTAAAACATTCTTCCAAATAGGTTTTGCAAGTATTGAAAAGCTGCTCACCAGCTGAGGCTTGAAGGCCTGGACCTTCTGCAGCTTATGCACTTGCGCAGACAGCGTCTTGTTTGCATTCTCCTTCTCATCCAGCTTCTCGAGCGTGCTCTTCGCATCCAGCGCTGCTGCGTCCAGAAGCTTGGTCAGTTTGTCTACCTCAGCCTCCAGCTGCGCGTTCTTGTCTGCAAGCGCCTTCCTCTGAGGAGTCAGCGGCGCCGCGGCCGCCTCCTTCTTCAGGCCCGCAACTCTGCCCTTGGCGGGAGGCATCTTGACAGTAGCGAAGAGGATGGAAGGATGAGACAAGCAGGAGGAAGAAGGCTTGCAGGCGTCTCTAGGCGGAGGAGAAGGCCGCAGGGTCGAAAGGAATGCGCAGCATTTGAAGGAATTCTGCAGCGATTGACTCCGAGCTTGAAATACTTACGAACGTCAGGAAGTTATCGTTGGGCCAGGGCTTCTCTTGCTTCTTGACCTTCGATTGCCTCAAACGAGGCCTTCCAACCGTCCGATGCCACACCGTTTTTCAAACCCCCGGCCTCAGCCTGGCAAGCTCTGGAAATTAACATATGCCTGCAGGCTGCGCAGCACTTACTCAATCTCCAACCGTCCGATGTTCTGAAAGCATCCAAAACCGTCGATAAACGTCCCTCCCAGTTTCAGAGCACTCCCTTCATGCTAAAGCACGTCCGGGTAACGCAACTCTCCCACACTGCAAGTGCCAAGGACCAACGTGCTCAAGTTCAAGCAGGGATTGGCATCGATCTGCATCTGCATGCAGACCTGCTCATTCCCAGTGGCAGAAGTGACCAGGAGACCACGTCCAAACCGCATGCCAAGCTCAGGAAGTGCAACGAAAGCCTGAAAGGGAGCAGACAATTTTTGACAACAGCTCGGCGGATTGTAGACAGACGCGCACTTTTGATAGCATTGAAGCCAGGAACCTCTGCATTACTGTTGGCTGCCTTTTCTTGAAGCACTTTAGTTGAAAACGTCCTCGGTTTCAAGGGAGAAGCCTGCAGACTTTGACAATAAAGCTGTGCGAGCCACTGTCTTATTCATGGCAAGGCAATGGCGGCCGCTGACAATACCCCATCAGACCTGCTTTTCTATGGCCTGAACGACGAGTTTGGTGAGTTCAGCAACTTCTTCCCTGCCCCCATCGATCTGGACGAAAAACCATGGCCCACCACCGAGCACTACTTCCAAGCGCAGAAGTTTCACAACGAAGCCCTCCAGTAAAAGATCCGAACCCTAACTTTCCTTAGGAGTCGCCGCCAAGGAGGGGCGCAAGCGGAGCAACCCCCTGCGGGAGGACTGGGAAAGGATAAAAGATGATGTCATGCTGACGGCGCTGCGAGCAAAGTCTATGCAGCACGAGGAGTTGAAGGAGGTGTTGCTGAGCACGGGCGAGAGAAACCTAGTGGAACACACGACGAACGATTCGTATTGGGCAGATGGAGGGAACGGCAGCGGTCGGAATGTGCTAGGGCAGTTGCTGGTGCGGCTGAGGAGTGAGCTGAGGGCCTTACCTGAGGGGGGGCAGGAAAAGAGCTGAGAGGTCAGTGTGGCACGAAATCGGAAGCTGCGGGCGCGCTGTGTAGGAGGGGAACAACGACTCGGAGGAGAGGGGAGCCAACGAGTTTGCTTTTGAGCTCACAAGCCAGCGAGTTTGGGTTGAGAAGCAAAAACCTTTATTTAGGATTCAGCGACTAGTTTAAAAGTGGAGTCTTTGCAAGTCAACACTGGCTGGCCACCATTGGCTTCCCACCAAAGTAAAGGCACCGGCGTGCACATCCAGCTTCAAAGAGGTTATGATGATGGGATGAGATTGCATCCTCACAGGCAGTGCTGTCGGCGCTCGCAGTCACTGGGGCAGGTGTTGAATAGGGTGCCAGGATGTCAGTACTCCCAAGCAATGGCGGGAATGATTCGTTGCAAATCAAGTTTCGCGATTACGCTTGCGGTACAAGCAGCGGAAGAGCAATTGAGGCCCAATCGAAGCGCTTAAACTAAAGATGAGAAGCGGGACTCGTCGTGGTAGAAGATTCTTAGGGGGCCCCCTTCATTAACGGATATAACCTGGAAGACTTCTGACAGGAACAACACAATTATCTTGAAAGACTGCGAACGCGGCTGTGCAGAAAGTTGGATATCCTTAGCTCAGCAAGTCGTGGAGAAGGATATCAGACTCTTACTGGAATTGAACCACCTTCATTAGAATCTGCGTTTTATCTGACGCGGTACAATGAAATTCTGACGGTTTTGTTCGCGTTGATCTATGGGATCAATACAAATGTTAGGGTCGGAACATATTTGCACATACGCTGCATGGAGTTCTAACTTGAGTTGCCGGCCTATAGCATGTGCTAGACAGGAAGCAGCAAGAACTTTCCAGGGCGGCCGCCCACCAAGCTTATATGTCATCGCAGGCGCGGCCGCCGGCAGGCTTGACAATGTCATTACGCTCAGCCCTTCCGTTCGATCTGTGCGTTCAGTCGATCAAATAGCCCATGGATAAGATGCACACGCATCGATCCAGAGGCGCGGGTCTTGAACTCAGCATCTGCAAACTAAGTTCCGGTCGCGCGATCCGATCACGAATTTGATCCTCACAAATATGTATGAAGTATACTTCGCTCGACTTCAGAATTACTTGAAGGTTGAGACGGTCATGGGATAAACATGAAACTGAACCCTCATGCTAAGATGGATGTACAGACGGTCGACATGTCGCGCCGCCGCCAAGAACTCGAGTACTCTGTTCCACGTGATATATGGGACCACGCGCCGCGTCATGATGCTGCTATGCCTGGCCCTAGCTAGAGTTGCACACGGAATTGGAGACGGCAATGAGTGTGGAGATTTTATACCCCCCTATATTCTACTGCATGATGCATACAGCATGTAGTGTATACCGCTTGTAATGAAGGCACTAGGATCGACCGCGTTGCAGCTTGCATGGAGCATTGCAAGCTTAGAATATACCATGCACATGCACAGATATCATGCATCTGACAGCGTCTGCGGAATTGCAACTTTTGGCAGGCGGACGTCCTGCTGAATCAGAAGCATCAACTTGGCAATATATGTGCAGCTACTATAGCCGACGCGCCCAGGGCCCACACTGAATTAATTGCCAGGTCGGAAATAAACAAATGATCGCAATCTTTCTATAGGAAAGCTCACTGAGGCAGCTTGCCAGCTAGCGTCCTTCCTGCTGTAACTTGCAATGCATATGTGGTAGTTGGTAAAAAGTGTAATTCGGAACTTCCTAAGCGGCTCAGGAACTCGGGAGAACTTGCATGAGACCGTCGTACGTGCACTGATGCACTGAGTACGTATAGCTGCATTCGGAGCTACACGTGATCAAAAAGCTTTGCACTAAGAAGCTACAGAACGTGACTTGTATAAGTCTTTACACTGTCGTTACGCTTAATCACCGGCACACTGAAGAACACTTACACGCTCATATACAACGAGCTGAAGGTGATACGATCCATACGGTGCCACCGGTGTTGGTGATTTACCATTCATATTGAACAAAGGGGACAAACAAAGTTTAAGAAAAACGCAGCATGCATGGTTTATAATGTAGCAGTCCGCACCTTAACTTTAAGGGCGCATGACCGATTGCATGCGGTGCTCTTATTTAGTAAGCCCAGCATCACATTGCCACCGCGGATCGAGCAGAGTGCTGGCAACTTTTCATGCCAACCGGACTTGATGGTCACTGGCTTTCAATTATGCACCCTGAGCCAAGGCTCGATGAAAGTGCGTCATCCGGAACAAGCAGAGTGCATTTGCGAAGGTCACTTTCAAGTTTCTGCCTACTTGATACAGGAGTCACTGTCAAGTTACCTGGCAGCTCTGTTGCTAGCTTCCAGCCCCAACTCGTTCCGGCTCCTTTGTGCTTTCTCCTCCGACGAAGTTCGTGCCTACCCGACTTGATGCCCATGTTCGCTCGTCAGAGTTTTTGCCGTCGTTGACAAATCTGCCCTCAATCTCTTCGGGGATACTGTCCTCCCTATTCGCTTCGGTTCTTTCAAGCCCTTCCCCCAGAAGGTCGATTCGTTCCCTTTCCGCCTCCGCGCGTTCCGCCCCCCCAGCTGCACTGGTTCCAAGCTCAACCCCCTCCCTTGTATCGCTCAAGGCTCCATCAAATTCATCCTGACTCGTACCGGGCCCCGCTGCCCCCTCTTCCTGCCCCCCCACTTCGCACTCCGCCCGCATCTTCTCCAACGCCCCCCGCACCTGCTCCGCCAAATCATCCCCCCCGGCCGCCGTCAACAGCCCACTGACCTCATCAAACATTTCCGGTGTGGGGGTGCACCCGTTCGCGGGCATGACCGTGAGCAACAACCACGCGTCCTGCCACGCCCCCACGCGCGCATAACCCCCCAGCATCCCCTCGAAAAACGCCAGGTCGGGAGTATAGCGTATCCCCCGAAACGCCTCGAGCAGCCGCACCGGGTTCTGGGGATCCCCCCGGTAATCCACGTTTACGAGTGCGTCATAAACGGCCGAAGAAGCCTCGAGTTTGGCGCCCTCGCGCAGGTCCTGCAAGGAGGAGGTGAGGTCAGAGATGCTCAAGCTGGAATGCTTCAATTACAGACGGCAGCGCTCTTTTGAGGTTTGAATATTTCTCCCGGTATTCCACGTTTACAAGCGCGTCATAAACGGCCGGAGAAGCCTCGAGCTTGGCGCCCTCGCGCAGGTCCTGTGAAGAAGGGATGACGTCAGATAAGCTCAGCTGAGATGCTTCAGAAATTATCGAGTGCCTTCGAACCGTTCGCAATTCTGGGGGGTTCCCCGCCAGTCCACGTTTACGAGGGCGTTGGAGACAACGGAGGGGTCTCGGGTTTGCTTCTTCGCGCAAGTCCTGCAAGAAGGCCACGTGAGCTCAGCAGAGATGCTTCGAGGGTTGCGTCGAGTGGAGTCGACGGACGCCAAAACTAGTCGGAGATTCTAAAGACGTCCTGGTAGTCCACGTTTACCATCACGTTGGCTTTTAGGTTCACATTCCTACCAGCTAAAAGCAGGGAGCTTGACAACAGAAGGAAGAAGACGCAAGTGAAAGTGCTGAGATACCAGACCGTGTGCTGCCTTCGCTAATGCTTCTCGAGCCCCCATTATTCGCAGGGCTTCTCACCCACAGACCGCATTCTCAAAAAGTGTCAGCAGATAGACTATGCACACAATTCCCCAGGGCCACGTTGATCAACGATTGCGTTGGGGACGGGGAAACTTCGCTTTGGTTGTTTGAAGTGGATTCGAGTGCGAAGCATGTCAACTCCTGATTTGTGTTTTCAGTAGTGATAGCGCTCCCGAGCACACTCCATGTTTAACACGCTCTTCGTCGACCTGAGATTGAAACGTATCTCACCTTGTAGTACTGCGCACGACGCCGTAGTTGTTGCACGCGCCATTAACATCTCAAAAGCAAGTAAAAAGACCCTCACAGTGCCCTTACAACTTTCTGCGAACCGCCTCACCTTGTAGTAGTGCGCGGCCTGGCCGTTATTTTTGCACGCGCCTTGAACATCCCAAAGCAAGTGAAAAAACCCTCACAGTGCCCTACAAGCTGTCGCCAAACCGCCTCACCTTGTAATACTGTGCGGCGAGCCCGTAGTTATTGCACGCGCCCATCAGCCGCAGCAGCTCCTCGTACAGCGCGAGTGTCGGCCATCGCTCGCCCGTCTGCATCTCTCTGTACAAACCCATCGCGTCGTCGTAGTAACCCGGCCCTAACAGCTCCTTAAACCCCCACCCCGCGTCCGTGCACAGCCGGGTGATGAGCTCGTAACTTTTCGGGTTGAAGGAGATGCGCTTCGTCTCGCGCATGCGCCAAAAGACGCGGCGCGCCTCCTTGAAGTCGCGGTAGAGGATGCAGACGTAGAGCAGCGCGTTGAAGGCCTTGATGTCGGGGTCCCAGCGCGCGGCTTCCAGGCCCTCGAAGATCGCGTATGCGTCCTGCAAACGTGGGACTCTTTGTCAGGCCCCGGAAAAACGAGATTGTAATCAGGGGTGTTGGTACCATCTTCCATCCCGGCACATGGCTTTCAGGCCTTCAATATGTGCGGGAGCGTCCCATAAAGAACACGCTTCGTTTTTGATGCTCTAGTCGGCAGGAGCGGACTAGAACGGGCATCCATGGACCTAACGGAGTCCTGTCAAGTTGAGAGGATTGGCATCCAAGACAGTTAGATCAAAATCAAGAGCATCGAGACTTTTCCTGGAAGGAGGGAATTCAAGTGGCAAATCTTTCAGGCCGTCAAAGTGCTACAATTTGAGCCACTCTGAACTTGGAACAACACAGCCTGCAGTTCGAAATCGTCTTGTTGAACGCCTGGCGAATGAACTTTCACTTTCTGACTTATGATAGATCTTCAAGTTCTCTTGCGTTTTCAAAGAGCAGACTTTTGGAGACAATTCGAATCCAATACTTTCAAGTCAAAGATCGTTTGGAGGCCATGCCCACCCAGGGCCGACAAGTCCCAAGAGTGTGCAGTGTCTCACACACCAATCGAAGCATGCCTTGTCCTTCATATCACTTCTCGGTGTCTTTCGTTGAACATTTTCCCAGACCTCGACCCCGATTGACTGCTCCCTTCACTCAAGAGCTCTTTCGATTCCACACCCTGCGGCCCCCCTTTTTACTCACCTTGATGGACCCCCCAGAATGGCACGCCGTCACGAGCATCGTGTACGTGACCCGCTTCGGCGCCACGTTCTCCTGCTGCATGTGCGCAAACAGCCGCAGGCACTGTAGCAGCGGTTTCCTCGCCACCACTAGTTCCTCCAACACCTGGTTGTACGAGTCCACTTTCAGCTCGAAACCTGCCTCCCCCATCTTATTAAACAGCGCTAACACCTGCTCGATCGTCCCAACTCTCGCGCACGTTTTCGCTAGCGCGACAAAGCACTCCAAACCCGGGGTCCCATTCGCGCTTTCGAGGAGCTCGAACCCTAGATCCAATCTCCCCTCCCGCCCGGCGAGAGTGATCATCACGCTGCGCAGTCGGTCCGGGGGGGTCAGCAGCGGGTGCGTCTCCAGCCACCGGAACACCCCCAGAGAGAGATCAAGCCGCCCTTGCGCGGCCAACTCTTTTATCACCCCCTCCCACCCCAGAAGATCCACCGTGTCCTCGAAAATTCTGCACGCTTGCGCCACTGGCTGCCCCCCCCCTTCGGTGGCCAAGATATGGTCGACCGCCACGCGTGCGAGATCCGAAAGTTTGCGCTGGACGGGGGGCCGCTTCGGCTTTGGAGGGGCCATGCGCCGCTCTAGTTCTGCCTGCCGGGCAGCCGCGATCTCCGCCGATCGTTTCGCACGCTGCTCTGCGACGATGATCTTCATCTTGGCCTCGTTCTCGCGCTTCCGCCGCTTGGCGGACCGGCGCATGCAGACAATCTTTTTCGGGGGGGTGGCGGGGAGGGTTGTTTTAGAGGTTTTGGTGTACGGACGGAGGGAGAGCCCTGAGACGCAGTCAGTCCATGTGCGGAGCTTGCGGGAAGGGACCTGTGGAAGGGATCAGAGTGAGGACTGCTGTTATTATTAAATCTCAGTCTGACTTGCAATCTGGGGAGAGTATACATAAGCAAGGTGGCAGAAATGCAAAGTGCAAATTGCTCCGTGAGAAGCAGCTTATCAGCTCACCTGGCGTCGTCCCTGAGAAGAGGACTTCTAGCCCATTCGCAATGCCATAGCCTCAGGACAGGCGTTGGAAAGAAGGAAAGTGGATGAAGAATGTGCCAGGGGACGGACTTTGACTCAGGCAGTGTCAAAACATGCGCTTAAATGCTCATGTAACGGGCTCTGATGCAATTCAGCGTGGAAAACCTGCCTGACAGATGATTCGCCCCTTTCAACCATCATCAGACTTCCCTTTTTGAAGTTGGTTTCTGATGCATCTGAAGCTTACACATTGTAAAGGCCCTTCCCACAGTCCAGAATTGTGCAGCTATTATCTATTATATCAACATTATGCCACGAGGTTAGAAGCCAATCAGATCAGCTCGGATCATGCAACTCACTCTGAGAGGTGATGCTGTTTGGGTAAGCAACTGGGGCTGCCGGGGGCAGTTTGTCCTGGGCCACGAGTGCCCCCTTCCTAGCGCCCGAGCGGTGGTCGCAGGATTCATCGGGGGACGATGACACAGTGGTGAGCTCAGCGATGCCTGATTCAGCGCGGCAAGGGTGGAGGTGGTCAACTGCAGAAAAGCAGTGTCCTTGTAAACAGCAGCTGAGGACCAATTATGTTTTGCAGCTTCAACGGCTACAAAAACTCTCTCTGGCCGAAAAGGTGGTGCAAAGTCAGAGTTCGTTGATTTCTTCAGGCGTTAAGAAAACCTTGAGTTACTACTAGCAGACAGAGTTTGAACACCACACATGGTCCCAAACATTGGAGTGGCTTTCTATGCCCTCTGTTAACCTTCTGCTCTTTCTGTTTGATGAGCTACTCGGTTTGCCACGATGAAACACCACACAACTCCAGTTGGGGAATTGAAGCTTGCAGGCTTGAAGTTTTATCAGACTCCAACACCACCACCTTGCTAACGTGAAGATGAGGCGCTTACCCGAAATGACTTAACAATATAAAGGACACGCTCCGGGGCGCATTGAGCGGAGTGGTGGTTGTTTGCTGCGTCTCCAAAAGGTTTACTGAGCACTTGCTTTTCAAGAAGAGGGCCTGACGTTGCAGGAGAAATTGCAACCCCTAGATGGAGAGGAACCCGGAATGTGAAAACTAGAAAGAAGATCAGGACTCGTTGAACTTGAACTTGAAGTGACATCAGGAGGGAAGAAAGTTGGTGATCGAGAACGTTGAAAGTTTGCTTGTCCTGCCGGTTGACCACAAGGGTTAGGAGATTTACGTTCCGTGCGGTCACGTACCTAGTAGCTGTACAGGAAATTGGTTTTGGGTTAGGGAAGTTCTCCGGTTACGGGACCAGAAAGCTCTTCCTTGTCAAGCAGATGTACTAGTAGCTAGCTAGCAAACGAACGAAGGGAGAGCCCAGAAAAGCGCGCCATATACTAGGTATTGGAAAGGGGCAAGGAGCCACAGGCGGCATTCAGCGTTCATTATGGCGGCGGTCGCAGCATTCGCAGAAACCATTACCGCTCCAAGCATTTCGATCAGGGCGGCTCGTGCATCAGAGGCGAAGCACGCTTTCTGCTCTGCAGTCCTGCTAAAGCGACAGGAGCGTTGCCAGTTTACGGGGGCCAGCAGAAGGGCTGCGGGGCGGGCCTACACGAGCCCTCTGAAAAGGAGTATAGAAAGGGTAGCTCCTGCGGGCTTCTCATGGAGTCACAACTGGAACCGGGGTTCTTATGGCAAAGAAAAGTTCAGGGCACAGACGGTGGCTACAGACTCCATTGTGTCTGGCAACGGAGCAGCAGGCGCGGAAGAGGATCTGCTGGCGTCAGCTCTGATTGATGCCAATGGAAGCAGTGTGATTGAGGATTGTGGGAAGGGGCTGCCGGAGAAGCGCCAGGCCACAAACGCTGTGCACGGGGGTGAGAGATCCTTCGTTCATCACGGCCTGGATTCACCCCTGCGGCAACCTGGCTGCTTAAGCTTTTGTGTGGCTGGTGAAGATTGTAGTTTTATATTTGACAGTCCATCTTGCACTTTGGAACTCTTAAGTTGTTAAGTTGGCGAATTTCATGCAAGAAGGCCAGCAATAAAGGCAGCTCACAGATCGGTACTCCGTGGTCCATAAAAAGGCCTTGGCAGCTGACGGAAAAAGGCCAAGTTGGTATCTTTCTGGATGCTCATATGAGTCATAATGTGGGGCTTTTGAAAAGCTCACAAGTAGCTTCTAACAGCATTATTCATTCTTGAAGATGGGGTGTCCCTTTCGAAACCGCAAGTTGAGATCATTCTTGCGTGAGGAAGGATGACGTGCAATTTGCAGGCTGAGTCTGAGAGCAGGCTGGGTTTTCTGAGTTGTTCCCCTATGCTTTAAGGGTTTCCTGGTTGAGAATCTTGCGAGTTCTATCTTAGAGGCCGTAGATCTGGGGTCACCGAAGCACCAGAGTGCAAGGTCCGTATATTCGCCTTTTCGTTGATTTCTTGGACTTCTGTGATCAAGTTCAGATTGTTGGTCTGTTGCCCACGGCTGTTTCTGACCACGGCATATTAGGGTTGGGTCCTGGTGAGCAGTTCGATCTCTTTATCTCAATGGTATATGTTTAATCTGTTTCTTGAAAAGGGAGGAGAGTTGTGACTCGTCAGGGCGAGGGAGGCGCTTTTGACGAATGATTGAACTGCATCTGGCTTACTCGTTAGCTGACTCAGGAATACTGTGTCTGGGCTCAGTAGTCGAAGTTTTTGGTTGGCGTGGCATTCACATCCAAATAATCCACAGCACTTAACTTGGGGAAAGGGAAGGTTTGTGCATTTTGGAGGCGTCGTTTGTGTCAGCTTGCATTGGCGGCAACAACTGCACGGGCGAATGAGCGCCCCTTCCAACCACATATCATTGCCCTCATTCTGCATCCTTGAGCATATATCTGGGGATCGTAGTCGGCGGCTCTCATTATGAACACTCCTCGTCAGTCAGAAACTTTCCGAGTCCCTTGATTTTGGTCGCTTGATTTTGATTCTTTTTGTCTTATCATCTACAGGGGAGCGCCGCGAACCTTTTGTGACGGATGCCCTCACGACCCCCATTGTACAGACCGCCACTTACACGTTCAAAGATACCGCCCAGTTGATTGCTTTCCAGGTGAGGGGTCCTATCTCGTAGCCCCTTCGCCTGTTTCTTTGAGCAGCAAGGCCCCTGGTTATGGAAGTCATCTGCTTGAATCCAAGAATCAAGAAAGTCACTGGATAAATTAGAACTGCCGTTATTCATTACGGAATTTGCGCTGTGTTCAAACATGATGCCAGTACTGCAGGGCTTGCATCTTAGGCCCTTCAGTGTCTCCCAATCAACTCTTCCAATGTTGCGCTGCATTGATCTTTGATGGATATCAGGTGCGGTGCAGAGACCACAAGAAAGACAAGTGGAAGGTATGCTTGGTTGGAAGGTTCTACATTTCAGTGGTCACCATCAAAGCTCGTCTCATGCGAATCAGAGGGCCAATCAGGATTTTATTTGCACTGTATAAGTTTGAATCGGATCCAATCCTTTGAGACCGTCAAAACTGTCAACACCTGACGGCAAGTTTGAGCTCTGAGACATTTGGTTTGCGTCTGCTGACATCACCAGGACCAACGTTTGTTGGGCAATCTTTGAACGATTCATTCAAGTCTCTTTACAGGATGGGACTCACAGCAGCTACGAGTACGGGCGCTATGGGAACCCCACCACTCGTGTTGTTGAGCAGAAGATCAGGTGCGCCCCTTGGCCGACTTCTGAGAGAAATCTCGATTTCAGCAACGTAAGTTTCAGGTACCGTAAGCCAACCAGTCTGAGATGGGTGGGGTTAGCTTGGGGGTACGGGCGGTACGGGTGCAGTGTTCTGAGGGTTGGGTTTTAACAGTCTTTAAGGCAGGAGCTCACTGGTTCTAAGCTTACTAACGCTTGAGTGGAGAGGCATTCTTATCAGCCAACTCACTCTTGAGGTTTGCTTTTGATTGCCAACATAAGGTCTCTGATGGCCTTTGGCTCGTTGCTTGGACCTGGAGGCTTATCTGGAAAGGGTCGGAATAAAGATTAGTTGCGGCGGTTGTCAGGATTGGATTAGCCACGGCTTCCCAAGCGGACCTGTTAGACTGAGGGCCTCCTGAGATGTTGTTGTGGTTGGGAGGAAACGTCAACCTCAATGTGTCTTAGTGATCTTCTGCTGCAGCACGCTGGAAGAAGCAGAAGATACTTTGTTATCGTCCTCTGGCATGAACAGCGCAACGACCATGCTGCTGGCGGTGCTTTGTTGCGACTATTTGAACAACTTTTTTCAAAGCATTTTTCTTTTTCATTTCACGACCCACTCGTCTTCTTTGGTTACAGTGCGCTGGAGGGCGCTGAGGATACCTTGGTGTCGTCCTCGGGCATGACAGCGCAACGATCATGCTGCTGGCGCTGCTCCATATCGCATACTCCCGGATTTGCTAGATATCGTTTCTCTCCACCAATGTATTCGTCCTTTTGACCCTCAATCTTATCTCCTGCAGTGCGCTTGAGGGTGCCGAGGACACCCTGGTGTCGTCCTCCGGCATGAACAGCGCCACGACCATGCTGCTGGCGCTGGTGCCGGACGGTGGCCACATCGTGACAACCACCGACTGCTACCGCCGCACGCGGCAGTTCATCCAGACCGTGCTGCCGCGCATGGGAATCAGCGTGAGTGAGCAAAAGTCGGTCAAAGGGGCATTTGTCTAGGACTGTCGTTACTGTATTGCTGGGGTCAGGTTGGTTCGGTTTGGCATACGCGCCACTTCATCCAGACTGTCTTGCCGCGTATGGGAATCAGCGTGAGTGAGCAACTTTTTGTTTCAAGCGGCTGGTATGGTTTTTAATTGCTTTGATGATGAGTTATTGGGGTCGGGTAAAAAGCTGCTGCTGCTCAAGGGCATCAGTGTGTGAGAGCAAGGAGTTGTGAAGAGCGCTCAGGGTGGTTCTTCATCTCTGTTGATGATCAACTCTCCGGGCCGGACCGGTGATGTTAGCGGTGCTTCGGAGACGAAAGGAGGCCGGTGCTGATCGTGCTGCCACATATAGTACTAGTAAGAGCACGCAATTATGAGTGGTTCCACAGGAGTTGGAAGGAGCCATGCACTTTGGCGACTGGAAATTTGGGGTTGCGGAGAAGTCGACTGATGAGAAGGCGGCCCTATTTGAACAATTGCCTGGTCAGATACTCCTCTGGCAAGCATAACCATCATACTCACCGTTATCTTTTCTCTAAGAACGTCAGGCAGGACCGAGCTTGTGATTGAGAATCTTATGAAACTTCTCCGGCTTCAACCGAGATTTCAATCAACCCGCTCCCCACTGCAGACGACCGTCATCGACCCGTCCGACATGGCCTCCCTCGAGCGCACGCTGGACGAGCATGACGTCACGCTCTTCTTCTCCGAGTCGCCGACGAACCCGTACCTGCGCTGCATCGACATCGAGCTCGTGTCGCAGATGTGCCACGAGCGGGGCACGCTCGTGTGCATCGACGGGACGTTTGCGACGCCCATCAACCAGCAGGCGATCCCGCTCGGCGCAGACCTCGTGCTCCATTCGGCGACCAAGTATCTCGCCGGGCACCAGGACGTGAGTTGGTTTTCGCTCCAGTTGCTTGGTTTTGGGTTCGGTTTTGGGTGTAGGGTTTGTATTGCATCAAGTTCTTGCCAACCAGGTTCGCTGGACGCAGACCTCGTGCTCCATTCGGCGACCAAGTACCTCACGGGAGACCAGGACGTGAGTTGCCTTTTGCTCTGCTTGCTTGGTTCTGGGTTCATGTTGGGTCAATTCGGACGTTGGGTCGACACTCTTTGATGTCAATTGGGTCGCGCTCGGTGCGGTTCTTGTGGGACACCAGGAACTTGAATCTCGGATTGCTTGATTTCAATGATTTCAATTTGGCTCCGGGTTGATCTGGATTCGATATTCAGGTCGACCCGCTTTTCTTGACAGAAGCACTCTTGACAGAAATACTTGTCAAAGATTTTTCCGAAAGAGACCTTTCGTTGGTATCATTTCTTGACTTCGTCATTTGAATCGTTGGCCAGGGGCCTCGTCCTTGAGAAATTTTCCCTTCCTGAAGACAGCTTGGATTCATTGCCCTTCTGGCGAGATTTCAAACTCAGGTTGCACGCTCCCCTTTGACGTCAACCTTTTGAAATAGCTTCTAAGTTCAAGATTCTGTTCGTTTCCGCAGGTCTTGGCGGGCTCGCTCAGCGGAAGGAAGCCCGAGGTGGCTAAGGTCCGGCAGCTGCACAACGTCCTTGGGGGGGTCGTTGACTCTGTAAGTAGTTTTCAGTCGGAAACCTTTGACCTTTTGAGGTCCACTTTTGTAACCTATTAAAGCCGCCTCATCGATTTTCTGTTAGGTTCTTAATCGCTATTAGCCCCAGCCACAAGAGTCTCGTCGCCCACAGTCAGAGAAGGGGTTCTATGCAATTATATGACGAGGGTTTGCAGCACTTTGGGTTGTGTGACGTTTGCTGACGCAAGGAAATGGCCCTGTGGCAAGTGCGTCCCCCAATTGCGTACAGACCACCGCTCGTCGACATCCGGTTATCTCCTGATCGGTTTCGAACGGTTCTTGCCCCGAATACGGCTATTCCAACATCCCGAGAGCACGCTTTTGGGTTCATTGTGCGTTGAAAGGTCGCCAGGGTCTTGAACGAAGGAGCGTGCGATTGTCGGAGACGGAGGCTGCAGTCTCGTGAACCGTCCATCGTTATCAAGATAGCAAACCGTGGAAGCCAGGACTGTTCGGGTTGAAAGTTCGCCACGATGTTGAGCGAAAGACCGAGCGTCCTGCTCTGAAACATCCACGTCCACTTTCGAAAATTATTCGTGCGCATGTCTGCAGTGCACCCTTCTGGTGTGCCTCACTTCTTGCTTCGCTTCGCTTCCTTGCCTGGGAAGGTAGACCTGTCAAAAGGTCTTGCTCATGGATTGAGCAATCTATGAAGACGTGCTGGTTTTCTCGATTGAACAGCGGCCTTGCTGTCTAACCATACTGTTTGAAGGTAACGAGGATCTAAGAGTAACCTCACGAAGAGAAATTTCCTCTTTCCCCAACCCGAAAGCCTAAGCACAAAATGACCTGCCCCGCACCCCAACCCACCCTAACCCTCGGACTAATCCTGACCGTCCCCTTGTCGAGTTCCTTGTTACTAGTGTACCTTACAAAGCACTAGACTTTAACTATGTCGTTGCTCTGGGGGCCTCCGCACTTGCGCTCCCCTTTGAGCATGCTCTTCCTGCTGCCCCATTGCTGCAGGAATCATCACTCATCAAAGGACTTGCTCATGCCATTTACGAGGAATACGTGCTTATTGTCCTGTGAAGAGCGGCCTTGCTGTGTGAGTCTCCTTATTTGTGCTCCCCGTTGAGAATGCTCTTTTGCTTCCTACAGCACGCGGCGTACCTCATATTGCGCGGCATGAAGACGCTGGACCTCCGCGTGCACAAGCAGAACCAGACTGCGCTGCGTCTCGCCGAGGCGCTCGAGAGCCACCCCAAGGTGAGGCCCTTCCGAGTTGGCCGTTTCGGAGCTTGGACCATCACAGCCCGTTTTGGTTCTTGCGGACTTCCGACCCTTTCGGGCTTTCTCCGACCTCCTTACGTTGGAGAAAGCCTCGTCCGATACCCTTCCGATTTGTGGACGCCCTCTGTTTGCTTTCCTCTGTCTGATCCAGTCTCGACGACCTTGTTGTGTGGATCTCGACGTCCCTCGTTGGAACGACGTCGGAAGAGGGGTCTCGAAGGAAACTGCGACTTACCGTGTGGGCTTTTGCTGCTCCGATCCGAGCGACTTTCAAGCGTTTTTAGAGATTGAAAGAGTCCGCTTGGTCCTGAGGCGACCGCTCTGGAATCTCAACCGTTATTCTGGGGCTGTGGACGTTCGTTTCAGTGGCTCCACGTCTGTTCCAATTGATGTTGATGCGGTCACGCGATTAGCATCTTCCAGTGACCTGTGTCCACTTGAAATACTGCACCAAGCAGTAAGTCTTTCCACGTGATTGGATGTTGTCGCCTTGTTAAATCCAGATCCATAAAACCAACAGAGGTCCCTGATTGAGATCTTCGGAAGCTTTCCGAACTTTCCCAGCTTTCCGAGCTTTCTTAGCGGAGTGCAGGAGGCGCAATGCATATTTATTGGTTTCTTCCTAATGCAGATCTCGCGTGTGCACTACCCGGGTCTGACGTCACACCCGGAGCACGACATCGCGAGGCGTCAAATGAAGGGCTACGGAGGAGTGGTTAGCTTTGAGGTGAGGACTCGATATCTCCTGGTGGAGAGGCCGGCAAATGGGTAGCCGCACTACGAGCGAATTGACAGCATCCATTATGAGTGTGCTCCTCCACACTTCCTGCCCTGATTGCAGTATATAAAGGACAGCAGGCTCCCGAAGTAAATCACAGAAGCAAACCCCAGGGTCGCCTGTGACGACGTCAGCAGTTGCAAGGTGCACTGTATCGGCTTCGAGTTCCATCGGGGACTTTTACCGGCGGGTAGGAGTTGTTCGGTGTATCTCGACCGGAGCTTTCTTTTCGAGGAAGCACCCAAAGCTTGTTGCCGGTTTTGCCACGCAGATCAAGGGCTACTTGTGGCGGACTGCCAAGTTTGTTGACAGTTTGCGGCTGTCGTATGTTCCACCGTCCCTTTTTGCTTTTCACCGCGGAGCCCCATCTAATTGTCCTCTCGCCCCCTTGACACGCAGATCAACGGCGACCTGTGGCGGACCGCCAATACCATCTATAGCTTGCGGCTGTAGTATAAGTAAATTATTCCGTCCCTTTTGAGTTTTCACTGTTGAGGTCATCTAATGACGCTAAGTTTCCTCTTCGATACGCAGATGAACGGCGACCTGTGGCGGGCCGCCAGTCATTGACAATCTGCGCCTGCCGTACATTGCCCCGTCCCTCTCGATTCTTTAGATGTTTAGCCCTCCTATGGACGCTAAGTTTCCTGCCCTCCTTCGATACGCAGATCAACGGCGACCTGTGGCGGACGGCCAAGTCCACTGACAGCCAACGGTGGCCCTACATTGCCCCGTCCTTTTTTCATTGATGTCCCTTCCAGTGACGCTGATTTTGTTCCCCGCCTTGAATACGCAGATCAACGGCGACCTGTGGCGGACCGCCAAGTTTATTGACAGTCTGCGGCTGCCGTACATTGCCCCGTCCCTGGGGGGGGTGGAGAGCCTCGTGGAGCAGCCCACCATAATCTCTTATTGGTGAGGGATCCCCCTGGATTGCTCGCGATTTGAGAACTATGTAACTTTAGTCGCAAAAGGATTCAAAAGGGATAACGATGAGGTATTTCTGGGTCGCAAACACCACAGCTCTTTGGAAAACATGACATGCTCCACCCGGATCCACCCTAAACCCCATACCAGCCCCACCCGTCCTCGTTGAGTTCCTTATTTATCATTGGAGATAAGGAAACGTCACTCTAATGTGGTTTGGGGATACTGATATTCGTCTGTGCTATGCACTGCTTGGAAGCATAACCAAACCACCAAATAACAGGTCTTGATGGAAGTTCGTCAATATTTTTGACACGACTTTATGCCGATGTCTTGGGTCTCTAAGGAGCGAGTCTCGAGGTTGTCATGCGGGTGTCAGAGAGACGGGTCAAAAAGGTACTTGCACGGAGGCTCTACAGAGACGATGAAGCAGTTTGATCCGTTAGGACGACTTGGTTTGGCTGCTCCAAGTTTTCGGGAACCGAGTGTTTAGTCACCGCAACAACACTATCCGGCGATTACGTGGCTTCATCGGAGTGTATCGAGCTTGGCGATGTGAATGAGCAGACGGAAACTGCTTTTACAGAGCTGTCCGGCATCTTATTAGCGACCGACGCATCATTGTCACCAGAGGGGAATCCTAGCAGCAGTCCTCCTCCCTGCATCACCATTTCCTTTCTGGCCCCTTGTGGGAAGGCTACGCAGACTGCCGCGATATCATCATCGTTGTCTCACTTTATCGGTGCAGGGATTACGGCCCGGAAGAGAGGGCCCGCCTCGGCATCAAGGACAACCTCGTCCGCTTCAGCTGCGGCATCGAGGACTATGACGACATCGCCGAGGACATGTTCCGGGGCCTGGATTCGATCTAGCGGGACGAGCTCACGCGTGTCGACTTGCTCCACTTGTCAAGCAAGCAACCGCGCCCCTCCGTATGTCAAGCAACGAGTGGACACAAGTCCGCCGTGCTTTTGCGCTCGTGGGTTTCCGTTTAGACATTGTTTGACTTGTAGCCTAGTATGCAGCCCAGAGACTTGGGCTTTAACTGGTCCCGAATTAGTGCAAGAAGTCAGCTTGGTGTTGTTTGCAGCACTTTGTCCCTTGTATTGGGTTTGACCCAGCCAGGGCGTGTGGGTCACGGCCCTTCCAAAACCTTACAAAGCAGTACGCTTTTCACCGCAGGTTCATTGGCTTTGGTAACTCCTGTGCCAAATGGAGCGAGTCATGAAAGCCTTTATGCTTGCTTTTATTTTGTATTGTGGGTCTTACATAGTTATGTACACCGCGCGCATTTTGAATTTAAGTCAATCAAACGAATTGAGGTGTTCAATCGAAATGCAACAGGCTTAGGGGATAGGCATTGAACCTAGTCTATGTGTATAGTTTCGAGCTCCAAATCGAGGGAAATTCCTCCCAAGTCGATCAATTGAATTGGCCATCTGGACGCATGCAATCACAAGCGTTAATGTGCTGATGGCAGCATGTGCCAGTAATCAGTGGTCTGTTATCGTACTCGCCTTATAGCCATAAAGGTTATACTATGATAGTCGCCCTTGCTAGTATGTACACACAAATTAGTTCTCTGGCCCGCATACCGGTATACATATATTACTTTATACCTCGGTATTTCCCTGCCAAAAGTTGCCTGCTTGTGGATCATGCAAGCGAGCATCTAGTCCTTGAAAGGTGCTTGAAAATGGCCGCGCGTGAACGCTCTGTAGCCTGCCCATCCTGTTTGGAACAACAACGGTGCATCTAACCGTCCGATAGTGTACGGTAGATTGGACGGCGCAAGTGATTTGCAGATCAATCAGAGTTTGAACACCGTATAGCTTAGCCGAGCTAAGGGCGACCTTCAAAGGACGGCTATCTCTTCCAATGTCGCTGCAATTGCTGGCCTGAGCCGGCCCAATCATGGTGGCCTTCGATCATGAGACGAGTCAAGGTCAGGACTCGACGCAAAGTTTTGGCATTCCAATCAAAAGCACGGTGCCAATTGCAATGCAAGGAGTACTGGGCAGCTTAGGAGTCAGATAAGAGGTACGTGTTTGCTGTATGTAGAAGATGCTTGTATCCAGGGGTCAGTAACTAGCAGCTTCTGAGCTTTCTGGCGCGTTGCACGCAGGTTCTGTGTAGAGAACTTCTGATCATCCAGAAGGCAGCAACCTGTCATTATTCTAGTCTAAGAAAGTTCATATTGGTGGTGATGTCAATTTCGAGGTCATCCTCCCAACTGCTAATGATCAGCGTTGAAGACAGGTGACACTTGGCCCTGCTTCAAAGAAAGGGCATCGCTTCGCAGTACAGGGGCAGGTAATGTAGGCAACAAGGATCTCACAGCAAAGTACTGTGTTCCAAGAGGTGGCAAAAGTGGTGAGCGCCGGATCATTGCTGTATTGACTTTTCATGTTCAAAGCAAGCGTATCTGTAGTTGCATCAAGATTGAGGGACCTTGTGGCAAAAAGATTTCTGATGGTCAAGCTGAGCTTAGCTTCAGCAGATGACCTTCTGGATAGCAGGATCTAGCTAGCATGCTTCTCCATCAGGGTGTCAGCACCTCCGCTAATAATGCAGTTGTTGCCACCAAGCTGTCAGGTCTGAGTAAACAGTGCTGTCTCCAAGAGAGTGCAGGTGAAGGCCTACTGCAGATAGTTGAGGGCGTAGGTGTGGAAAGCAGACACTCGCGAGACTGATTGCTGTAAGCACAAGCATCATCGACTTCTCTGTCCACTTTAGACTCCAGAAACCTGACGATTATCGCTGTAAAATCACAAGCGCAAAATGCAGGACCCCGTGCTTAAGAATGAAGTATCCGACTGCAGGCAGAGTGCCGATACCCTACCGTGGGGCTCAACAACAGCCAATCCAATCACAACCGAGATGCGGCGACCAGGAAAAGAAGCTTGGAAGCTAGGTCGCTCGGCCTCTGGCAAGAAGAAGTTGCCCCTGGTTCCGCTCGTTCTAGCAATCTTGTCCGGGACACTTTTCCTACTTGTCCTCCTGGGGTGGGATCCGCTTGGCGTCTTTCCAAAGGGTAAAGTTCCTCAAGTTGCTCAGAAGGTGAGCATGTCTAACCTTGTCCCAGCATCGTCTTCGTGCTGAAATGCTCTGCAACCTGGAGCATACCATGACTCTATTGAATCACTCCTGACAGCCTACCTATGCTCTGACCGATGCCATCCAGACTGTCAGGTGATGTCTGCAAATTGGGATCAAGCATGGTCAGTGTGGCCCTTACAGCGATGAGGACTTCCCTTGATAAATAGCCGTCTCTTGCAAACCTGACTACACACCCTCCCTTATTGCTAAGCATCCTTCTTAGGTTGTCCTGATGCGGATTTCCATTGAAACCCCCCCCACTCACTTGCAGGTAGCCAGGACGCTGCCTGTGAACCCGGCGGAACAGTTTGCTCATCAGCAGGCGGCTGGGGTAAGAATATCACCTCTTAAAGTGAAGAACCTTCTATCATGCTGTTCGAGTTGGCAAGATTTCTCGCTTTGTGTAGTCTCATCGATTGACTGTTGTTTTCAGCGCAAGCAATGTCCTGCGACACCAATGTGCTGATAGATTGGGTGTAGTGAAAATATGAGGACCATTTGGTTAAAAGTTAGGCTGACCAGTTGCAGTCGTTCCTTGATCCAGGCATCAGACTCAGGAACTCATGGCCAGGCCTCGGAAGCAATTAGCACAGCGTTGAGCCTTCCCGTCACCGAAGCAGACTCGTACGACGGTCCCAAGCACATCTGGACCCGGCAAATAGTCGATCAGATCTCTCTTGGCCGACTGTATGTGGCGATTGCGAGGGAGAGCACAAATTACCACCTAGCTCTAGAATTCAGCAACCAAGTGAAGGCATGCCAGGCGCTTTTGGAGGAAGCGAAGAAGAGCAGGCGTCCCGTCAAGAAAGGGGAAGCGCAGGCGGCGGTGCAGGAGATGAGCAAGCTGACGTGGCAGGCTCGGGTGCTGCGATATGACCCCGCTACGGTGCTCATGAAGCTCAAAGCGCAGATTCAGGTAAAAGACAGTGAAGATTCGTCCTACTTCAGAAACGGCTTCTATGAGTTCGGTTAAAGATCCCTCATTGTGAGTGGTTCATCCAGTCAGCCGCACGTCATGTGAAGGCGTGTTTTGGACGACGGTCTTCCGTTGCTAAAGAACAGAGATGTCGAACCACTGAGCACGTGTCCGACCACTGTCTGGCTGTTCTTAGGTCCGTCTCAAAAATGAGTAACCATCACCACACACCGTAAATTGGGTCAGTCCGTTCAAAGATTTCAACATGACAATTTCAAATTCCTCCCTCTGCAAGGATGCTGGTCGGGGAACTTCTGACGTGGACAAAGTTGCGACGCTGTATCTCGGTTCGTGTCCCAGTCCATCACGTCTGCTGGATCAGGGTTCGTTCATCCTCGAAGTGCCAAACCGGAAGTCCCCTGCGCAGCAGAGCTGGTTGTTGCTCAACTTCACACTCTTGACCTTTTCCCGCACAAAAAGACCATCATAAAGAGAATCAACAAAGCCTTTCTTCAACAAACCAGTCCCAGTTCCTCATCTGGACAGCCTTCCGCTTCTTTCCCCAGAGCACCGAGGAGAAGCTCCAGTCGTACAGCGTCCAGAGCACCTTCTACGGCCAGCTGGCGGCGGAGGCGATCCCGAAGAGCCTGCACTGCCTGGGGATGCGGCTGACGTCAGAGTGGGGCGCCAAGACGGACGAGCTGCAGCGGGCGCTGGAGGAAGCGAGCCACCCGGAGCGGCTCGAGGACACCGGCCTGCACCACTTCTGCATCTTCTCGGACAACGTGCTGGCAGTGTCCGTGGTCGTCCGGTCGACCATCGCGGTGAGCGTTCGGAGCGGCTTCGCTCGTTGCTGACATCAGCAGCCACTCTCTGCTGACGTGGCCGTAAGTAGAGACGACGGCAGAAAGGTGACAGAACAGGAGGCGGAGGACGCTGTTCTGCCAAGCAAAAGGCTTATGTGGCGGGAGCCAATGTGAAAAGGGGTGAGTGCGTGCGAGTGGACCATGCTTTTGTGGTAACAGACGGGATCGAGGGAGCCGACAATCTTGGCGAGCCGCTGCGACTGCTTCTAGTTTCCACTCTCGAGAGAGGGGACTTGCAACGGCTGCCAATGACAGCGGGCCACTTTCTTTTGCACGTTTACTTTGATGAAAGATGTCCACATTGTTCTAGAGTACTTCAGTGAAGCTGCCATCCGAGAAATATGTTTCAATCGTCATCGGAGCGGAACAGCACGAGCCAAGCCGGAATTGGCCGAACGGCAAAACTCGCGGTCAAAACATCGTCGGAGCGATTGAGCTTACACTCTCTACCCGGGTGTGAGGTTGTCGTTTGGGATATACGTGGATGCAGCCTCCTTCAAGCACTGGCGAGCTATGAGCTTTCACGGTGCTCAAGTTGCGTACATCAAAGCACTCAGTTTTGATGTGTCGACGGTTTCGTTTATTGCACGATCTTTTACGCGTTCGGCCTATGCCACACTCACGATAGAGTTTGCTGACACGTCCTACAACCAAGTTTCTTGAACGGATAGAAGGTCCAGAGCTATCCAGTGTCTTGAAATCAGACGCAACTTCAAAGCACATCAATCTCGCTGACAGGCCGCGAGTGCAAGAGCCCAGTCAAGAAGCTAGACAGATTCATGTCAACAGATTAAGGAAGCCGCTTCGGACCGCAGGATATTGGTGATAAGAAAGCTGACGTCACCGTTGTGCCCCCGCAGTCTGCTGCCGAGCCCGCGCGCTGCGTCTTCCACGTCGTCACGGACGAGATGAACTTTGGCGCCATGCGCGCGTGGTTCGCGCTCAACCCGCCGACCCCCGCGGCCGTCCAGGTCCAGAACATCGCGTCCTTCTCGTGGCTGAACGCCGACTACTCCCCCGTCATGCGCCAGCTGCAGGACGCCGCGACGCAGAGCTACTACTTCCAGGCGTCGCTCAAGGAGTCCAAGAACACGATCAAGTTCCGCAACCCCAAGTATTTATCCATGCTCAACCACATCCGTTTTTATATCCCCGAGATATACCCCCGGCTGGAGAAGATTGTGTTTCTGGACGACGACGTGGTGGTGCAGAAAGACCTGGGGCCGCTGTTCGAGATGGACCTGGGGGGGAACGTGATCGGCGCCGTGGAGACGTGTCTCGATTCCGGGTTCCATCGGTACCACAAGTATCTGAACTTCTCGGACTCGCGCCTGAAGGACAACTTCGATCCGAATGCGTGCGGCTGGGCGTTCGGAATGAACGTCTTCGACTTGAAGCGGTGGAAAGAGGTGGACATCACCAAGATTTACCACTACTGGCAAGATCAGGTGAGGTGCCACAGCTTCTGAGTCAAGGCCGCTTCGGTGACCCGTCTGTCTTTCTGAATTCGCCAGCTCTCTGTCTCGTGTGCTTACATCATCAGCTGCCAATCCTCGCTTCCTAGATGTCTGTGTCGCTCATGGATGCGTTGAAGACTGCTGGAGTGGACTGGTGTGTCTGGTAACAACGCTGTTTACTCTACATTGCTATGCAGAAAAACCCCTTGAAAGAAAACTTGAGACTCTTGTAGCAGGCATTCCCTTGCCTGTCTAGGTAGGGAAGGATCCTCTTGTGTTGGTTTCGCTTTTTCGTTTGTGGCTTTGATAACTTTCTTTCTTCTTGTAGAACAAGGACCGGTTGCTGTGGAAGCTTGGCACTCTTCCGCCGGGCCTCCTCACGTTTTACGACAAGATGCAACCGTTAGATAGATCCTGGCACGTGCTCGGGCTCGGTTACGATTTCAACGTTGATAGCAAAGCGGTAGAAAATGCTGCAGTGTTGCATTACAACGGAAACATGAAGCCTTGGTTGAAACTAGCTTTAGAAAGGTACAAGCCGATTTGGACAAGACATGTTGACTTTAGTCAACCATTTATTCAGGAATGTAACGTGCACTGACGTACAGTAGCTCACAGCAATAAGTTTAAGAGAGCAACAGACAGCCTGTTCAGAATTATTACAATCAAGGGCCTTTCAATCAGTTTCTTAGTATTCCTACTTTCCTTATGCAAGCATTGGCACGTGCAAGTTCGACAGCGCGAGCAATATGACTTGGTGTAAATTCCGCGGACGATCATCGGATCTAGTGATTCATGTTGATATCCATTGTTTTGCCTAATATGTACGTGCCAGCCTTATACTTCCGCAACGGCCTTCTTTGTATTATACTGTAGAATCCCTTAGTATGCCTTTCGACTGGGATTCATGCCGCACTTGCAAGTAGTCTCTAAACAGCTGCACTTAATGATTGGCTTACACTGGTCGATTCTTATCGCTTATAGCTTGAATTCAATTAGAGTGCTGCATGATTTGTTAAACTTTATCATAGATGCTCGATTTGAAATGACAATCATTCTAGCCCCCATGTAGCTGTCATGCAGCAATTTAAGCCTGTCAATCAATCATGTCCTATTATAAGTTCAGAAGGGCGTTGGCACAACATGTTCTATCATCAATCTTATGGTATTGTCGGTAGGCTCATGCACACTAATAGTAGGTAACTCATAGAAGCAGACATGTTCAAAGACATCAATCAATATTTTGTACGCCATTAACCATGATGGGAGCTACCGTACTATGGGCGCCCGCACTGGCTAACGTCGGAATTCCGAATTCTCCCAGTTATAAGAAACGAAGAGTCGAAGAGACATCCCTATAATTTCGGTACCTAAGCAGTTGCCACATGCGCCACAATGCGGTGAGTCCGCGGCCCCGCCCGCCTGATATCGTACGGTGTACGGTACCTACCCTTCAAGCGTACGGTACGGTATACCGTACTTATGTGGACTCGCGGTACCGTCTCTGGAGTACTATCCCGAGGGGGTACCGTACCTGGCCTTATCGGGGAAACCAGCACACAGTGCACACGCAGTATGTAGGACCTAGGTACGCGCATTGATGATTACAGCTCTTGGAGTCGGCTCTGTGGTCGCATGTCGTACGTAGTCACCTCAGAAGTTGGAGAATCCCCAGTGGTGCACGCCCATTGGCTGTTGAGCTTCTAGGGTAAACGTGACCGCCAGGCCAGTTGTCGCCTCTATAACCGTTGAGATGATCCTGAATCACTCGTTGGGCCGTCGATAATTACAGCGGGCGGTTTCGGTCCTGAGAAACACATGTGATGGAGGTTGTTCACATGCCTGTTGAACAGCCTGGCGGTGCGGTGCTCCATCCACGTGGAACGCGGAGTCAAGTCTCCACGCATGCACTGGTTACAGCTTTGTTGGGGAGGTTCAATTTTACAACCTGGCACCCCCTCGAAGAGTGCCATTTGGCCGAGCAATCTGCTTCGACGGCTGCGATAAGCTCAAACGTCCTCGGGGACGTTGACAAGGAGCCTGTGATTGGTTGACAAGCCACATCCCACCTCAGCACTCAGTGCCGACGTGGAAAAGGGACAAGGAAAGTTTTCCCCGGTGTGCTTGCATGCCTCCACCTAGCTGGAGCGCATTGAATGCAAGAGCACCCGGTTGGCGGGACCCAGGAACATAATGTACACCTGGGACAAATCTACAGACAAACTGTGATTTGCAGTCTGCTCTCACTGTCCGCCTCAGCAGTGCAGCAGTGGCACTCCGCGTTTGAGATTCTGGGTGAAGCCATCTTTGGCTAAGGTATATTCTCTCACTCTTGCAATTCTCTCGTTGCCATTTCCAAGTATTCCAAGTTTGAAACAAAGGCGCCTAGTGTCTTCCGTCTTCCACCTTCCTGCCCTCAATCCAAGCGCTTCCTCTCTCAACACAGTTCGAGATGGCGAAGGGTGGTGCCAAGGGTGCGCTGGGTGGGCCGAATGCCGGCATGGGGCGGAGCGTCTTGTTGCCTCTTATCATCCTGCTGTCACTGATGTACATCGTCATTGCGTGCCTATCAGGCTACCTCTTCAACAAAGATGCCGATAGCCCTGGGATCATTCAGAGTAAGGATGCAGCAACTGAATTTTGATGTTTAAGTATATTTTCAGCTGTGGCAAGATGGTTTGCTCACAGGGACAGAGAAGCTGAGGTAGTGTCATGCCAGTCTGTCGTCTGTAGTTCAATTGGTAAGAGATGCTGCCTTGGTAGTTCAAGAAGCTCTAAAATACACTGTGCAACTGTTCAAAATCTGGCTAGTACGAGCAGCTTGAAGGTCAGTGTTGGTGCTGAGATTCAAACGAAGAGAGCAATGAATAGTGATGAGAGCTCCTACTCCAGGTGTTCTTCAGTGACATGACTGGGTGAACAGGGTGGGGTCCTTCTTTACTGCTGTGCATACAGATTGAAACTGTTATTTTCGAGTCGGACTTTTATCCAGACACATCTCATATCACCAGCAGCCTGCAAGATTGAGGCTGTATTTTTCAAGAACACCGTGTACTGAAAATAGGTATGCAACAGGTAATGAACACCTTACAACACGTCAGTTTTGGCATGAAACGTCTGAAATGATTGTAAATACCGCACCAACAAACAAAGTGAAGTAGGCAGTTGTGAAAAGCTGCATGCTACTTCTCACGGGATTCCATCATCGCTTTCTGACTTTTCATATGGTTCCATTGCACAGGGAACTCGGTGGTCTTCTTCATGGTGATCTTCTGCCTTATTGCATCCATGCTCGGCCTGGCATCGGTGATCATGGGATATTACCATTCAGCCACCTATGCGGACCACTCTGCTTCTGGAGCTGCTGCAACGGCTTGGATTGCACTGCTGATCAACCTCTTGGCCTTCGGGTAAGTAATGCTCGTTTGTTCCATTACCTGATTTGCTGTTTTTCTACACATTGCGTGGCTCCTCGTCCGAAACTGCATCTTGCTGGTTTGGAAATGCATTCTAGGTTCTGGATGATTTTGGTAACGCGACAGGGTTTGCTTTTGACCTGTTGCATTGATGTGAAGTGGATTTTGGCAGCTCTCACCACCCTCTTGAAAGTAAAAGCGAGGTAGATTGGTAATGTGGCGAAGGCACTCTTTACAAGATGTTGTAGCAAACACACCACCTTCTGAACATTCTTTGTGTTTCTTGCAGGATTGCCTGCAAAACTCTTGAACGTGGAAACATTGGTGGAGGCCGCATCGGGTCTATTGTGGTAAGCATACACCTGATCCGGAATGGCTTTATCACCGTCTGTAGTACTTGATTGAGGAGCTAGCCTGGCTTGGGTCAGGCACGTACACTGGTGATAATTCCAAAAAGGTGTGGAGTACTTTTCCAAGAATGAAGTCTGCTCAATTGTGATGGAAAGGGTGTTTTCTCATCGTCGCTTTCCGCGCATCACTTGCTGATTCCGCGCATCACTTGCTGAACAGCAAACGCTCTGATGCTGATGCTGATAGGGATTTGGCATCTAGTGAAAAGACTCTGCGGTACCTTGTTGCCATTTCACAATCTGCAACCTTCTAAAGCCGTTGGACTCCATCTTTTTGCAGAAAACCGTAGCATCATTCCAGATTATCGTCACCGTTTTCCAACTGATCTACAACATCCTGGTTCACGGCCTGCCTATCGGCAACAACCACAACAGGAATGCTTCCCCTGCGGGCGTTGGCACCACCGGCATCGGAATGCCCGGTGCTAAGCACCACACAACAGCCACTGACGTTGTCTAGGTTGGCAGTCGCTTGTCGTAGATGAGTGTACGTTACATATTCGTAGCATTCAAACGCCGCCTGAGAATCATTGTTAGGTGGCACCTTGTTGAGAGGTGGTCGATTGGACGATGTAAAATTGAGTCGTAGATTGAGGTAGGAGTTACTGGGACGGCAATTTTCTGTACGACCAAGTCACTAGCGTGAAAATGTAGGAACTGAGAATCGAAACAATGCAGAGATACACTGTATTTAAAACGGTGTTAAACAAAACTCTCTACTGTTCGAAACCTTCGTATGGAAGAATTTGAATGAATTCAATTGGAAAACTGCCAACGGCTATGTGTTTGCACATTTTCTTTCCTCGGGAATAGACAATGAATATATATGATCTCGAGATTGAACAAAAGTGTGAAGAACGGTTGACCCGAGGTAAGCAAACAAAAAACCTTTGCCACTCATACTAAACGTCGCTGGTTTTGATGCTATTCCCAGTCAACCAACCACTTTCCCGAATGAAAAGCTCCGAACTCTTGGTTTGTAAACACAATTTGCAACCGCTGTATTGGATCCTATTGAATTTTTGTGAACGAATCAAGTAGCTCGTATTGTGCAGAAATCAGACGAAATAGGAAAGACTAGTTCTGCTTATGATGATCTATGTTGGAACTTGTAACATGAAAGGAGTAACAAACTTCGCATATACAAACCTACCGTACGCATCGTACGCATGATGACTACTAGGCCGGGTACTCTCAATTGATTAGACAGCACTCTCGCTAGTAGTATAAAGCAGCACGTACAAGCTAGTAACCTAGTAAGTGAATGCTTGCCAAAACTGTGATGGGCCGGTGAATCCGCTCCAATTCGATGTTGACTTGCATTAGAACATTCGCTAGCTCCGAGAATTGTACATTTACGATGAAGACTGTGTAATATTCATCAGCAGAAACGAAGGCCTAAAGTCACGATCCATTTCTTCAACAACTATGAGCTCTCAATACAATAGGCAAACCTTCTGGCTGTAATTGAACATTGCCAAACTTTAGCGACAAATATATCTTTCTTCACTGGAAGCTTTGGTAAGAAGAGCAGGGCAAATAATCAAACGTCCGTTCGTCTACTCGAGATGACTTAAATGTATGCTCATATAAGATGATATTGCAGCCGCCGGCGACTAGCCGTCTCTAGCTGGACTTTGACACTTCTACGATATCTACACTCTCAAACGCATTTCTCTTCGAGCTTGAGATCTTGACATGATGGCTATATCTATATGATTGATGTCTGAACTCTGAAGGGCACCGCAATCAAGTACTTCTGCAGTTCCGAGTTGCCTACGATATGAAAAATGGCGCAGCTCAAGTGAGTGGCCGGTACGAAGCTAGGAATTGGACAACAAGGCTTCAATCTGAATTGCTGATCCGATCCTTACTACATCTACATAAGACTGTATTGTCCGATCGACTGCATAGCTAGTTTTCGTTTTCAATGTAGGCTCTACGAAGCTTGACCGCGCGGGCCAGTGGGCCGGTACAACGTCAACATTTGATAAGTGCATGCTGTGTACTGCCCCCTGCAATTCTGAGTCATTGTGATATATTTTACTTCCACCCATGCATGCAGGATCGTGGAGCAACTAATCAGGGCCTTCTGCTCAGTTTGACCAACTATCACCATGCCGCAGCTGGACTCATGCAATCATGCACCTTCCAATTGAGTCCACTAAACGGCAGTGGGCTTCGAAACGAGGTATAAGCGTATAGGCCTGCTTGCGACATGAAAGACAATGTCCCAGGTATTAGCAACACGTTACAGATTGAGTGGCGTATCTGACGACCCTGTCAAAACTCCGACATGCCAAGACCCACTACCCATGGCTTGGTGCAAGCAGCGGCGGCACCATATGATCACTGTATGTCAACGCGCAACGTTCAACCATAGAAAGTGCAAAGCATGCTGTGCTCGTCCTTGTCGACTCAAGCGTGTGGCTGCGTCAATGAAAACCACCTTGTTGAGCATGACGGCTTGCCAAATCATTCAATCGTAAGAATGAAGCGTGAGCGCGTTCTGAATCAGGGTACGTTAGTCATCCCCGATCAAAACGTACGACAGTTGTTCGAGCAGGCTTCTCGCCTTGTCTTCCCAGCTAGGTTCGCCTTTCCCTGACTGCAAGGCTTCCCGTTTCAACCAGATTGCGTCCGTGCCGGCAGCTCTCATAATCCGGGCCTCGTCAACCGACGACACGCCCTGCAAAGACGTAGATAACGTCAGAGTCATCGAAGACTTGCACACGAGCGCGATTAGCAGATTGACGGCGACTTGGGAGAAAGGGAGGTCATGTAAACGGCGTGCGTCCTTCCTTCGCTGCTGGGCCGCTTTCTTCGAGCAGATGTGCCATGCAACAGCTGGGGTTTTACTTACCCTGGGAACAATCTCGATATTCTCACGCAACCTCGTGCTTGCAGATTCCGTCGAACTCGTGCTTTGATATTCCAAGCACCGCCTTCCACCACGAACGCCAATCCGGGCGGGAATTCAGCTGGCACGTGAGCAAAACTCTTGCCTTTCTTGGCGTCATCAGAACCATCTTTCGCGTCCCTCATCCCGACCTTTGCAAAATGAAAGTCAGGAGTCGCTGACCGCCATCCGCTCGCGCAGAGGCCGGGCTTGCGTCACTCACCACCACGGAAGCTGCCCCGAACGGCAGTTGCTGCACGAGCGACTTCGCGACGTCCTGACGGAACCCCGGGATGGACACCTGGCACATATCGAAGCGTCCGTTGAACCGGGCACCGTGAATCATCATCGGACGGTTCAAAATCAGTTTCGAACAGATGGGGGGTCAATAACTGTGACTTGTGTGGATCAGGCGGCGTCGATTGGTGACAGTTGACGCAGGGTGCGGACTTGCATTGCTCGTTAAAGCTGCCATCGGTCGACGCTGCCATTTGTCCCCAGTAACAAAGTCGCTGAATCCAACATGCATCAATACGTTTCTGGCGGCTCGGCTAGCGGCACGGCAGTTTGGGTCACCATTCAACAGCTCTGACGCACACTGAGTTGCAGCAAAAAGAAGAATATCTGCTGGGACGATCGTTTCTGACTGATGGCCGCAGCGCGAGGGCAGCGCTCGCGCTGCGCCTGGTCGATAGCAGCTCGCAGAGCGTTGTCAGCTGCCGCTATATGACGTGGCATATTTAACTGACGTTGAATTTCCATGGTGAAACCTGACAGAAAACATTACCTGAGCCGCATATAGTACGAGCTTCGACACGAAGTCGATGCTCGAGGACCTTTTACGGCGAGAAGCCGCTCTTGGCAGGCGCAGAATCGGATGGGAGATGAGACCGACCAAGTTTAACACGACTACAACTGTGATTTGAACCACCATCAGTGCGCTGAACGGCGGCAGAGGCTGTCAAGACGGCGGTCAGGAAGAGACAGAGACAAAATAGAGGCGATGATGAAGGGAGTTGTCTCACCGACAGGCCGACAGAGATGTTGACGCCAAAAAGAGTGGCGCCACCACCGCCGACCACTTTCTCTACCTGGTCCTTGTTGACCACCTGCGAAAAGACTTGGGAGAGCGGTCGGGACGTTTGTACCGGGCATTCCTGAGCGCCGGTGATAAGGGTGGGAGAAGGCATGGGCGCCCCAACTCCAGAAGCAACAGATGATGCGCAAGTGGCGGTGCGGTATACCCGCCTCAAGAGAATGGCGCAAGCTCTTGAGTTTGCACCAGGCACTGCTGAGCTGCGGTAATACGGGTGGACGAAGGAATGAGCGCTTTGTTTCCAAGAGCAACATACGTTGGATGAGCGCAAGCGCCAATGCGTGATAAGCGCCTCGAAAGACTTGCGCAAGCTGTTTCTGGCGGGACAAAGTAAGCTCTCCGTTTTGTCCACAGCGGGTGATGTCTGCTGGGTATTCTGCCTCGTAAGGCATCGTATCGGTTTGCAGGTATCAACGTGCCCGCACCGCAAGACTTTGTTTGAGCTTCGCTAAAGAAGCTCATTTCCAGAAATGGATTTTGACGTCCAACACCGAAACGGGAACTGACAGTACCGCAACGGAAAGCGCTCTTGACGTCAGCCGTCCAAGCCTTGTGAGCAGATAGCAGATGCGCTCTCAGAAAGGCTTTCAACTTAGATGCCTCGCACAAAAATTTCTCCGGACACGCACACCAGAATGTTGCGGCATCAGCCAACGAGCTGAAGTCACAACTTTTAGTTCGGTCTGATTCACATGGACAATATGGAGAAGCATGCCGGTGGAACTCACCTCGATGATGGGGTCGAGCCCCGTCGCCAGACCAATTTTGAGCAGCGCCGGCGTGCCTGGAAGCAGAAACACGTTTTAAATTGTAAATCAAAAGCAAGATTTTCCTTGACCAGAAGCAGACTCTGAACATTGTCTACAACGGTCTCGGCGGAATTGTGTGTGTCTGGTCGACCGGTCGGGAACCTTCGTTGCGCCGCAGGTCCTTCTTGAAGAGCTCATCCAAGGGCTTCCTGAAATCCTGAAGCAGGGAGAATGTGATGGACCGTGAATGGTCATGCGCTGTTGGCATGGACTGAAGACAGTATGAGACCAACATCAACGTTCTGAAAGCGTTCTCAGCTGGACATTTCCTTACGTAAGCGTTGAATTTCTGGAAGTAGAGTCGAAACCTCTCTCAAAACCGCTCATCCGTCTGGAGCGAAGGCTCGTTTCTAAACTTCCTGTTGCGTCACCGTGAGCTTCAACTCCGCCGCTCTAGTTCAAGGGGTAGAACTCACAAAGCGTCCCGTGAATCTGAGCAAGAGTTTGGATCATCGATCGGCTCCTCGGAGGAGGCAGGCTCTCGGTAGTGTTTTGATGCAGCAGCCTTGTGTTTCTATTACGCAGACGGAGAAGCTTGAAAATGGTTTGGTTTTACCTTCACCCAGCACGGCTTGCACTAAGTTGAACCCCGCGGCGCCAGAGCGAGTAATGTCTACGATCTGCAGACGTAGAAAAGTTAGCACTTGAGGGTCTTTACGAGCATACGAGCAGCAGATGTTGCAGTCTCGTAAGCGAGCAACAGGAAACCCGGCTGCTCGAATTCCAAGGGAAAGTTACGATAGAAAACTCACGGAGCGAACATCCTTTGGACTCATTAGGTCCCACGAGATTACAGTTGCCCGTTTGCATGAGGCAAATGTTGTTTCATGCACCTTCCCCTAGTTTGCGCACGATTTTAAAATTTAGTGCGGTGTTGATGAACGATGGAAGTCTCGTATCAAGAAAGATTCCCCTTTGGCAAGAACCCAACAGCTCTTCAGGAAGCTGCAAATCTAGGGCCCTCGAGCCGAGCTCTTTTTATTTTGAGCGCCGCATTGGAATGGGCAGTCACTGAAAACATGAAGCAGAAGTACGAGTAAGGGAGAAGGCAAAACCGCTTCACCTGGATGGGGTGCAGAATCCAGTCTCGACAAAGGACAGGCGTATTCCCCAATCCTGTGATGCAAAGCAGGTTCGCGATGTGAGCAATCGTCACAAGTGTTGTGCAGAGACGGAATGCTGTCTTGCTGATTTGGCTGCGACTAATTCAGCGGCCGAAAAAGAAATGAGCACCTTCAGAAAGAAACTTCGGTGTCTCGGATCTCTAGCCCACAGTCACCCCTGAACTCGAATGGCAAACGATCAACCTCGTTCTCATCTGTGATCCGCTGAAGTCGACACAACTCTCGATCTCTGAGGTCATGTAAAACCTTTGTATACTTCCTGAACTGCTTAGATCGCTGTTCAGTAATGTGACCGGTTCTTGGACAGTGCGCTTCCTGAGTCCTGAGTATCGCTGTTCAAAGAATGACCTGTTCCTGGACAGTGCGTTTCCCGAGTCCCGAGGAACCTCTCCAGCGAAGGGGCTAGCGCAGCACTCACTGTGGCAGACCGTGACTAGGTCCATCCTCCCATCCGGCGTGAGCTCTTCGTCCGTACATACAGCTACAGCGTCTGCTCCTGCAACGAGAGAAGGCCGAGAGAGTGAGCGTCAACTGTCAGGCACCCTCGTGGGGAGGTCTTTCGCAAGAAGCATGTGAAGGGTTCAGATTGTTACGAATTTTATCTCGAAGGCAGAAGAAGCCGGCATATGAGGGTTCAAGAGTAGGAGAAGGTGACACAACGAACACGTGGGGGTCTCAAGTGTGACCAGAGGGTGCAAGGTCACCATACAGTGCGCAGCTTAACGAAGGTCCAATCCTTCTTTTCCGCACAAAGTCAGCACAGCGTGAGTGCGCTGTGGTGAGGAGCGTATAGAGCTTGTTCTCAAATATAATTCCAGACGCCTTCCTTTCTTGCAGATGAAGCATTTCACAGCTTCTACTGCACTCCCAGCAAAATTTATTGTGGCTCCTCAGCGCACTTTTGTGTAGTGGACGGCAAGCAGCTGGACCATGAAAAGTTTGCCCCTGAAAGTTCAGTCCCCGACTTTTGGGCTTCTTAACAGTGTGCTCCGGAGACCCCTGATCGACCCGTTTGCACTCTGCGCTTCAGATTACAGTCGCAAGTACTTCATCGCATGCGATCTGCCTCAGTCGGCAGCCAGAGGATCGATAAAAGCTGCAAAGTGTGCATCGCAACTGTCAAAAGTCTTCCCGTACAACCCCAAAGTTCGAAACCGAGGTGATTAGGTGTGGGCCCCCACCTCACCCCATTCTATCAATGCGGCCGCCCTTTCAGCCAGTTGCTCTGAAGTTTCGGAAGGAGACGCCCGCCCAACTTCCACAATGAGAGTGGTCTGTCCCCTGACAGTCCTCTCCGCAATCAGTTCAAGCAGCCGGTTCGGTTGTCGGGGCCTTGGTACGCTGCGGAGTTTCTCTTCGAGGCCGTCCGGTCCTAGTCTCTGCATTTGTTCAAGTAGGAGTCTGTGGAAAGTTGATGAACATGAGCAACAAACAGCGTGTGCTAAAAAATGCATCAGAAAAGTTTCCTCCCACTTTGGACCTGAAACCGAGTGTAAGGGTTGTCAGTGGAAGAAATCAGCTCTGCCTTGAAAGACAGTGTCTGCTAGAAGAAGGTTCTGGTTGCATCCTTCTGCCCAAGGATTTTATGGTGTTGGACTGCATGTGGTGGTAAAAAGTCTCTATTCTGATATGTCCTTGCAGTGCAACATGCAGGGCCTGCAGATGGGAGGATAGCTCCACAAATTTCCCACTGCTCCACTTTGGAGTCGCGCTTCTTCTAGGCGTTTACCTCTTACAGAAAACAACCGATGTTGGTCAAAATTCAGCCAGTTGGTAATCTTTTACAGTAGATTGTCGAGCATCTGTGATGAGGATGTCAGTTCCATCTTCTTACCTGCAACTCTGCATTCAATTTGACCTGCTTCCTCATGACGGCTCCTCGCAGAACTCTGCCGCCCGACTCCGCTTGCTCCCCTTCCTTATCTTCTTGATCGCCGCCACTGCAGCTCCTGAACCTACCCCTTTCTGAAATTATAAGCTTTTGATAAACCTTCTTCTTTAACGTGCTTGTGAACCGCCAGCTCAACACATTGTGGCAGACCGCTCCTCGTAAGGGAAGCTGCGGCTGTTGCTTTGGCGCGAACGAAGCATGTCTGCACTGTTTTTCACAACGTGCACTGGTTGTAGCTGCGTTTAGTTGTGATTGCACCTGCATCCTGGTGGCGGATCGGGCAGCCATGGCCGACAACACTCTGTTGCGCACCACTTTTGAGGGGCGCCTTTGCAACAACTGACTTTCGAATGGTGCACAGAATGGCCGATGCAATCCTGTGCATGATGCATCTTTGTTGGCTAGCCGCATTGGGTGGAAGTGATGTCCGACGCGCAATCTCAACCGTGAGATAAGCTCTTTACTGCATCTGAGCCGTCCGATAATAATGCTGGAAAACAATCACACCGAGAGATTGGCAAGAGGCATGAGGAAACAGGCTGTGCGTCCTGTGTGACGCAGTGTGCATTGTGCCCCTCTTCCATGAGCTCGTTTCTAGGTGAACCGTGAACTCGGTGAAGGCTGTGCCCTTACGCTAGTCTGCGAGTTCCAGCTGATGAGCCGCACGTGCAAGACGGTATTTTCCTAAAAAAGGTGAAGGCTGTGCCTCCTCGGGCTAGCTCAGTTGGTTGAGCGTCGTGCTTAACCTAGCACACTAAAAGGGGTTGGACCGAAAGGTCGTGTGTTCGATTCTCGAACCCGGCCATCCGCTGCGGAAGGGGCAGGATTCCCCTTTCGTTTGTCGGTGTGCTAGTCCCGGTGCTGCAGCTGATCAGCCCGGTGTGCCAGACTGTTCATACCTACCAAGGTGAAGGCAGGTGAAGGTGCGCCATGTCAGAATGCTTTAGGACCATTGAAAGATGGTGTGTCTGAGATAAAAGGAACGGGACCATCCTTCTGCTTCTCTGTAGCTCAGCATCGCTTTTCTCCAGCCCATGAGTGTTTGGATTACCTTCCAGGTTCTTCCTGCTTCAGAGAATCTAATGCAGGTTCCATTCCCCAAGCGTCGAAGCAGCTTGTCAGCTTTACATTGAAGTTGAGCCGCAAGCAACCGGACTGGTCGTTGACATCACTTGAAAGCTCTGCAACTACTGCCAAACCTCCACAATTGCCTGGTCCTCCACAACGTCCTAGAGACGTCCGGCCTTTTACTGGGGACTCTCTCACCTGCCTAAGCAAACAAGCACTCAGCAATGGACCGCAGCAAGACTGCTGAATTCCGCGCTGACACTGGCAACCTTCCAGGAGGCCGCCTGACATCTGTGGCTGACTTCAGCGCCGACCTGCTGAATGGCATTTTTGGCAGGCTTGGGCCTGCCCCCCAGGATCTTGTTCCTGTCTCGTCAGTGTGTCGCGAATGGGACGCAATAATGCGGTGTTCAACCTGGAAGGCGCTTTGCATGAGACATGCCCCAACACTCTGCACTGCCCTCGGTTATGGGAACTCTGACACCGCCGTTCCGCCAGGGGGTTGGGCCAGTCTTTATAAGCTGTTAGTGTACTGCCCGGGTTTGCACCCGGCATTGACGGACCAACGTGAATGGTATGAGACGAAGTTCACACGCCTTGAGCTATCATTGACAGGACAAAGCTGCATAGAGTGGGACACTTGACAGGTGGCTGTCCCACAGAGGGGTTTTGGACGGAACCAGATGCGATGCAGGCATTGCGCTTCCAGGAGCCTTTCTTGACAGATCAGGTGTTTCTCTCCAGCGCCTGCTTGCAGGACTCGCTTTCGCACAGTCTAGAATACCTCGCAGAGAGGACGTGGGAGCATGGCTGTCGGGGGATAGTTAAGGACTTTCCAGCGTCGAGGATGTACTCCAAGGTCATGTCAGAAGGTGCAAAGCGCCTGGAGCAAAGCGGAGGGTACAAGTGCTGGCCCTGCCCTTACTGCAGTAGTGCAACGTTCCCGCTGCACCAGGGGCTCTTCTTTGAAAATTGGGACGCGCTGAACCAGGACTGGTGTACAAGCTGCCCGGAGGGTTTCGAATGGTTCAGCGAAGTTGCTGGATTTGGCGACGATGACTGCCATTGTACCAAAACGTGCGCACCGAGCGCTTGGCACAAGAAGAGGAGGAAAGAGGGCACCCAGAATGGCCAGATTGAACGCCTGCAGGGAGAGCGTCGATCGTCCAACCCGCACAGTCGGACGCCTCTGTTTACAGGGGCACATCATGCTCGCCTGCATCGGAGCTCTTGGGAAGCGGAACGGCCCCTGCATTGCCTGCTCGGGAGAAGGCCTCACAATCGAGCCGTGCGGACTCGTCTTCTTTCTTGCCAAGCACGGGGGTGCTGAGATTAAGGGTGTAAAGGAGGCGCTCCGCTTCAAGGCCCTTCTGAGCACAGGCGACCTGTCGGAGATGAAGCGGAGACTGGAAAGTCTTGCGTACAATTGGCCTAGCGAGATGTGGGACCGGCCTAAGGCGGGATTCGCGGGGGTGTTGGAGTTTCTCAGCAACCGCAGAGCCTTTCAGGGCCTTATGAGTCCAGGCATGAAGGACCGCCTAATGAGTTATGTTCAGTTTGGGAGCCCAGGGCTGGACGAATGCATGCAGGCCGTGACAAAAGAAGCTCTATCGGTCTTCCCAGCGCCTGCGAATTGAACTCGTGGTTGAAGGTTCACCTCTACACGTACGGAACTTGTAGGTACATCGAGTCTAGCTTTAGCGCTAGAGCTATACAACGACGTTTATTTATCCAATCGCAACAGAGCTGCTGAGGCATGCGACGAGACTCTGGCACGCTTGATGCGCACATGTGATTTTTACATTTGTACGCATCATAAACCAGGCGTGCAGCACAACGTTTGCCGGATGTGTTAAAGATCATCGTGAACTGATATGTAGCTATAGCAGTACTGCCTCCATGCCAATGGTTGATTGCCTTGGTAGATCACGATGCATAAGTTTGCTGAAGCAATTGCTAGAAGACCATGCGCATGGTTCGTATGCGCATACATTCAAAACTGAGTGCATGCCTCGACTGTCCAGTGATCCAATTTCAGGGGTCGGACTGCATTCGAGCAGAGCTAGTCAGATCGATGCTCAGCTCAGTGCGCGCCTGTCGATCAACTTCAGAACCTTCGCGACTCTCAATCAAATGAATTGCAGAGACCCATGTAACATGTTTGCTCGCTGACACCACCATACCGTCGGCACGCTGCAAATCGCCTGAAAACTGATTGCATCATCACACCGTACTGTGCAGTTCTTTTGGATTGTCTGGCCGCCCCTTCGCAGAATCATTCGGAGGAGCGCCTCACACCGTCTTGTTTTCAGTGCAGGTGGCCCATGCCATGCATACTCCGAGCTCGTGCCTAAATCAATTTCAGGCTACGAAACAGAGGTGATTTCACACTCGCTTATCGACCGATTTCGGACGTCACCCGCCGACTTCGGATGCATCTCACGTCCTCTTCTTGTGACTTTTCTTCTTACCAATGGATATCCTCCTCTTGTCCGAAACACCGACACCCTTCCCTCGCGGTCGACCACCTTTTCTACCGCTATCTGATTGTCCTGTACTTCTGCTTTTCCGTTTCTTCTTAGGCAGCCCTTCCTCTTCAGATTCCTCATCCGAGTAGGTTCCGAACTGCTCGCCGTCGAAACCCTCCCCTTTGCTATCCTCGTCATCGTTTCGACGGCTCTTTTTTCGTTTTTGATTCGACTCCCCCGTTTTCCGCCCTTCTGTTTTCCGCCCGCCTTTCCGCTCCCCAAAACCCTCCTCTTCGTCCGAGTCGGAGTCATCCCAAGCCTCCTCGTCAGAGTCCATTTCTTCCTCCTCGTGCTTCTTCGTACTTCTGGCTCTCTTCTCCGATTTCCGTCCTACCTTATCGCTTTTTCTTTTTCTACCCGAGGCTCCCTCCTCTTCCTCCAAATCGCCATCGTCATCCCTCCCGGAGTCGCTGGCTGCCACGTGTCTCATCGGACGGTCGTCATCGTCCGAAGCTGCTTCATCTTCGACGGGCGGCTCCGCTTCTTCGGGCTGCAAAAAAGACAAAATTTCAAAGCCATGTAACCTTTGAGACTTGCAACATGTGGACAGACGCGAACCCGCAAATCCAGATTTCTCACGAGCGCAGGTTTCGATGTGTGCAGCCTGAGAGCATCGACCTGCAAATCGCACGAGCGCGCAAGTACGCAGACCGCCGAAACTAGCAGCCTGTCCTTGATTGTCAAGGTCAACGGCGAGGTGTCAGCATCTAAACGAGAGAAATCAAAAGGACAGATTTCCCCATGGAAACCGCCTGGTCTTCGTCCGAAAAGGTACATGACCGCACTTCCCTAAAGCAGTGGTGTCAAAACCTAGATAATCAAATCTCAGACCCTTAACGAGTACTCTGTCCTCGGCAGCGCCAGCCAAATCGTTGGCTCGGCTGTCTCGTGGGATCGGTCTCAAATGCACAAGCGACCAGCTGATTCAGAGTGTCCCTACACCGGAGAGATTCCATCCAGTCCCCTAACCTCCCCTTTGCGCGTCTTCCCAATCCCAAAAACCTGATCCAAAATCGCTGAAAAACCCAATCTTACCTCGACACCGCAAGCACAGCTGCTCCTTCCTCACCTATCGGGCGGGGTCGATTTCGGGCGTGCATCCAACCATCTAAACGAGAGAATCAGAACAACGAAAACTCCATGGAAGACCCCACTCTCGCCCCAAAAGAATCCACCGCGCAGTATAAGAGCCTGAAAACAACCTGCAGTGCCGAAACTGCTTGCTTACCTGTCTGGCGGGATCGGTGTCGAACGCGCACGCGACCATCTGCTGCTTGAGGAACAGCTTGGCCTGCAGCTGCCGCGTCTGCGTGTTATGGATCCGCAGGAAGCGGTCGAGGCCCACCGAGGCCAGTAGGGGCTCCGTCGGGTGCACCGCGAGCGAGCGCACGCTGCCGCTGACGCTTCCCGGGAACCCGCCCGACTTGGTGCCTGAAGAAAAGGGGGATAAGCATGCGTTGATTGACACCATTTAGACATTCATTGATGTATGCGTCGATCTGCTACATTTGAACTTGTGCGCCGTGAACGAGCGCACGCTGCCGCTAACTCTGCCCCGGAACCCGCCCGACTTAGTCCCTGAAGAGATAACAAAAGATTGCCCGTTTTATTCGACCCTCTCTGGTGTGCTCGTTGCTGTCGAACCAATGATAGAGCACGGTCAGGATTGCGAATCTGGATGAGGATGACCGAGAGCGTATTTCGCCGTCGGGTGTACTCCGGGGAGCGCACGCTACCGCTGACGCTGCCCGGGAGCCCGCCCTGAGGAAGCGGAGGACAAGCATCCGTTGATGATTCTTTGCTACGTTTAGAATTTCGAAAGGTGCACCACGAGCGAGCCTACGCCGCTGTTGATGCTGCCCGAATTGGCGCCTGGGAGAGACACCCTCATTGCTCATTGCGGTGCCGTGAAACAATTTGCGGCACAAATGTTCTTTCAACATGAGTACCCTCCACCTTGAAAAGAGAAACGGATTACAGCAAGGATTGGAGTGGAAGAGCAGCCTGCTTGAATGCACTCAGTATGTCACTGACTGGCGAAGCGGAACAAAGCGCCCGAAAGTAGTGCCTGGGGGGACGGGTGAACATGCCGCCATCCTTCGAATGTTTTTGCCCCACAAAGAGCCTTTGTAACAGTGACGGGGCATGGTCAAACCGAAGGACTTACTGTCGACGAGAGAAGGTAAGAGCATCTTTCAGAAGTGACGGATATTGCGTGTTGCGGATCAGACGAGAGACGAGTGCAGATCAGCCCAGATCTTCAACGTTTCGCCTGCCAAACACGAGGTAAGTCTAGACATTTTCGGTGGTCCGTTCTCACCCGTCCTGAGATCAAAGCTGACAATATCACCAGTGCTGTTCCCGGCATAAACCACGTGCCCTGAGGGGTCCTCAGCAACCGACCAGATCGGAAGCTCTCCATACTCCATCACCATGACCGGCCGCCGCTGCGCCTTGACGTCATACAGCCTCAGCTGGTGGTGCCCTGGACGCGAGAGGAGGGATGTGAGTGGGCATATTCGAGCATGTGGTTAGAATTCTCCACGTGCTTGACGAGGTGATGTGACGTCATATAGGTGCGGCTGACGAGGTGAGGTGACGTTATAAAACGCAGCTGGTGGAGACCTGGAAGGAAGTCGAAAACGTGGTCGCGATTGGGCAAGAAAGAGGAGAGCTTTCAAGACAAGGTGCTGACGGGGTACGATTACGTCGGTACAGGGATTGGACAAGACTTCTTACAAGACTATTGATGACGGTCACAGACAAAAGCGCGGCTAATATTCTGGTGTGGATGGTCCGACTGACCCGAAACCGGACTAGGTCAACCGCGAACAACAAGCGACACTTTCTGAAATTCATGGAAAGCTGTGGGCTTTCTAACTTTTTGAACATCTTTCCTGTTCGTCTCTTCCAACACGTTACTACCTTCAACTCCCAGTCTGTGTGCGCCCTTTCAGCAAAGCTTTCAACGAGTCTCAAACACCGACGGCCACCAGGGAACTCCACAAAACGCGCTTACAAAAGCCCACCTGTTGCTGCCAGCACCCTATTCCCATCTCCCCCCAGAAACAGCAGCTGCGTCACCCAGACCGGTGTCTGCAACCCCAGTGCGTCGGGGCGAGTATTCTTTGCCTGCCACAACTTTGCCCTCGTCTCGAGGCTCCATAGTGTTGCGTCCAGCCCTTTCCCTCCGACAACAAGAGACTGTTCCTGCAAGAAACCGAGAAATCTGTCAGAGTTAGCGAGTAGGCGCTGACCTATTTAGCTACAGCGTCTATCAACTATGTTCCAGCCTAGTGTTGGATGAGAGTGTTAGTGGTGGGACCTAAACAGATTGTGGTCTGAAAGTCCCAGCTTCAGCAATCTGCGCGGTAGAAGCAGACCACTTGGACAGTACTGAACCACAAAGCAACTCATCTTGCCAGTGTTTCTCATGTCTGCGGTAAACGGACTTTCGAGAATCCGTCATTTACAAATACCCGCAGCCGCCATCATTTTCTACGAGGCCTGGAATCCTGAAACGGTGCTCCGCTGAGCTGCTCTGGAGATTAGCAGGGGCTTATCAGCACCATTACGGCAAGCAACTCCCAGCCCCGCCCAATTCCTCCACATCCGCATGTCAGATGTTGATATGTTCTGAGAGTTCCACTTCCCTACACAAGCACTAACCCACAGCTAACGATCGCCTCCTGGGACCTCCAATTTCCCTCCAATTTAGATCCAATGCACTTGAGTAACCCACCTTGTGATCCACAGCTAAGCTCTCCACCCCCGAACCCACTCCCCATTCTGCCACGGTGCTTGCCGCCCCCCCGGCTCCCCCATCTTCTCTGGGTGGCACTTTCCATTGACTGACTGCTCCACCCCTGGAGCACGTCAAAACTTGGACCGCTTCCTCTGTTGGTTGTTGGAAGAGATGTATGCCCCTAACTGCGTCCTGACTAGTTGCAGGGTTAAGGGTGTTGGCACTGGGTTTGTTGCCGTTGGTTTGCAGGGGCGTTGCGATAAAAGAGGCGTGGGGCTGGCCGCTGGCAATGTCGAGAAGTTCGACGGTTTGGTCGGACCGGGCGACTGTGACGAGGCCACCAAAGGGGCCAGAGCTGGTGACCTGCAGCAGGGTTAAGGAAAGCGGTTGGAAGGGTTTAGACTCAGGTTTCGAACTAAGGTTTCGTATCAGGATTCGCAGATTCCAGAGGTTCAACCACTCACCAAACTTGCATCTGATATTGCAGGTTCAGAGGATGTCAGAGGATGCAAGGCCGCTTTGGCTATCATGGGGTTGCTTGGCAGTCTCAGTCTTCCTAACAAAGCCCAAACTGACGGAAACCCTAAAATTGAAACCCTAAGCTTGGCCTCAACATGCGACCTACTGATTACATTGATGTTTTCCTGTTTGCCTTGACCCGCCAGGCAGGCAGCAGAATCTCCAAATTGCGGACAGAATGAGCAATTTAAAATCTAGTAATAAGCGCGCAGTTTAAGAAGGGCCAGGACAAACATCTGAGCAGAACTATGAAGCAATACATCTGTGCATAACCACCACCACCATCATCAAACTGTTACCAAAGCAATCCTACAATGTGCTCTGCACTTTGAAACCATTGCCAAAACAGCTGCGGAAAACATGCTAACCCAAGCTGATACCTGCATTCTCTCGACGCCTTTCCCTCTCCCCCCATCTCCCCACCGCGCAACCACCTCCGGCGGCCCAGCATTCTGGCCCCTGGACTCTACCACCTTCACATACCCCAGCTCATCTGCAGTGATGAGACGGATCGGCCGGCATCCCGAAGCTGGCAAGGTACTGAAGCGGGGCATCGGTGTAGATTTCAATGTCCTCCAGCTCACGTGTTATAAGAAGCTGCTTTCCCTCCCGCACACGCCTCTGATATCTTTAAAGGATTTGAAAACTTCAGATCATTTTCAGAAAGTGCTACCTAGAGCAAGTAGGTATAGAAGAACCTGCCCGTGCACATCGAAGGCATGGGGTTGCTAACCTCACAACTGACCGCCTCTGAGGAGTTCCTGAATGCCAACTTTCAAAAACACCATCATGCATGATGCAGTGCAGGACCGGAGGCTGAACGATCGAATGTAAGGGCAACAGAAGCTGGCCGACACACCATGCGGAACAATCGACAATTTCTAGAGGGGGTTGGCGGTCGTCCGAAAAAGCGGCGAGACCACCGAGACTCTCCGAACCTCTGCCCAGGGGAATCGCTATTGGTTCCAAGAAGCTCCCGGTTCAGTCTACCGACCAGTAGGTTACGACGGCAGATTGACGCCAGGTCACGCCCGACTTTGCGACTCTACGAAGCTTTAAATTTATCCGCATGTGAATAGGGCCAGCTTGAACGCTGCTGAGAGCGGTCGGAGGAAAGATCTTAGATTTCCCCAACCGCAGAATTCGGCTAGCAGAAGCTGGATGGAGGGGCGCTAGGACTCGGAGATTGGTGTTCTAGCTCTGGCCCTGTGGCCCTGGGGAGGAAGTTTCTTCCTTATCTATGTATTTGCCGAGGAGGCTGCTCACGGATTGAAGCTTGGGAGGCTTCGTGTGGTGCAGATTTCAGGCGCAGGTCAATTGTTCTCGCTACATCTTTAAGATCTGGCATGTAAAGCTTCTGAATTGGGGCAAGTAAGATTGGCTGTACAAGCTAACTGACCAGCTGGCTGTCAAAGAAAGAACACAACAACGCTTGGAAGGGGTTGAAAAAGCGCACCAGAAATCGGGCCAAGCTTTAAGCCCTTGAATGTGACCTGCACTGGTCGACGCGCTTCCCCTGCTTCTGGATAGGGAAAGGATTTGGAACGGGGTTCAGGCGTAGAGTGAATTGAAGGGGCATGGGAGTAGGAATTTGATTCTTTGTTGGCGACAAGCAGGTTGCTGTCGTCCACTGCAATTGAGAGGCTATTGCAGAGAAAGATGGCGAGCATCTTCCAATCCAGGAGAGAGAAGGACAGGGAGGAGCGGCAGGGGCTTCTAGCGACACCGGATTACCCAACTGTTGAGAAGGTGCCTGTGCGGATTCCCAAAGGCATCACCACATTGCTGCTGATAGGAAGCTGGTACTTCTCCAACATCGGAGTGCTGCTGCTAAACAAGTACTTGCTCAGCATCTATGGCTTCAAGTACCCCATCTTCCTCACGTAAGTTATCTTTTGACGAGCGCACTAAGCTAATTAGTTGACCTTTCGCAAAATTCTTCCAATCCAGAGCCCCTCAGCAAAAGCTTTGAAATGAGGAAGAATTCAAGGGAGAGAATGGAAATTACATCTGTCAGGTCGTATTCGCTGTTGTGTGCGGCGGTGCACTTTGTGAGAAGTATTTGCTTCTGCAGAAGGCATCGCTTTGGGAGCTTGCCTTTCCTTAAATGCTTGCAACCAATCGGCGCAGCTCTGGAATTGTGCACCAGAAGTTATTCTGCACTTGTTGTGGTTAGCTGCAAGCGGCACCTTCGAGCTCAAGTGACAGCAATCAGATGCTCCATTGACGGAGAGTGAATCAAAATGGCTGACGGTGGAGTGCATTCAGAAATCGACTCTTTGTAATGAGAGCATTCCTCATCCTAAGAGGTGCTTTGAATAGCTGCCGTTAGTCAAAAGTCAAATCAAGGATCGGTGTTTGGCCTGATAGTATCTGTCTCAGCGATGTTACAAAGCATGTCAAGACAGTGGTCTTATATGCAGCTGAAATGTCTCTGATAAAGGTTGCTCTCATAAACAATGGGAGAGATTTAACAGAAGGCAATATCTGGACACCTGAAGAACCTTTCACGTTGAAGACACTTGTTGTGTCGGTTTCTGTTTGGCTTCATTCTGTAGTGACCTGCTCAACTAAGCCATGTAGCTTGTGAATGAGCTCCCTCTCTTTCTCAAAAGACTCACTACCGCTCCATTAGGTTTCCTCGCATTTCAAGCGATGTTTTCAGAAAGTGCTTTTGCTTGTCGTCACCTTCTAACCACCAGTATTTGGAAAATACTTCTTATTTGCCAAGGTGGCAAAAGCCTCGTCCCTCTTGAAACCTTCTTCTCCCCCTGGTTTGAACTGAAGTGCTCAAAGCTGATGACACAACTTTACTGCTCAGACTCTTGTTGTTGTTGAAGCGATCAAGAGCCTACACCCCCTTGCAAGATCTACCCCGCTCCTCTCACTTGGAAGCACAATGTACCCTTTCCTCCCCTCTTTGCAAGACGCTTCAAGTATTGTCGCAGGCTTTCTTCTTTCCTGCTCTTCTTCTTTTTTAGAGGCTATCAACTGTTGAACACTCTCCCCAAACACTTTGAAAATTCGGAAGTTGAAAAGTCCCTTAAACCTACACCTCCTTCTTCTGCAAGATGCTGCATTTCGTCGCGCGCCCGCCCTCTTCACACATCATCCAATTGAAGTTTCCAAAACATTCGACCTTCATAAGGTGAAGACTCCGCTGCAACACTAGAAAGCAAGAAAACTTTATCTTCTGCAGGATGCTCCACATGGCCGCGTGCGCGCTCTTCTCGTACGTCGCTATCGCGTGGCTCAAGATCGTACCGATGCAGCCCATCCGCTCCCGCTCCCAGTTCATCAAGATCTGCGCCCTCTCCGTCATCTTCTGCACCTCGGTCGTGGGGGGCAACATCTCGCTCCGCTTCCTCCCCGTCTCCTTCAACCAGGCGATCGGCGCCACAACGCCGTTTTTCACAGCAATATTTGCGGCCGCGATGACGATGAAGCGGGAGGCATGGCCGGTGTACGGGTCGCTCGTGCCGGTGGTGGTCGGGATCATGGTGGCCAGCGGGGTGAGCAACAAAGTCTAAGTTTTCCTGCAGGAATCCAACTCGATCCTACGAATTCTAGCTCGAGTCGTCTACCCAGCTTTCATCTGTAAAAACTTCGAGCAACATGTCAAGGAAAAGCCAAAGCACCAGCGTCTGAGCTCATGACGTCAGCGTATGTCAATCTTTGCAGGGCGAACCCAGCTTTCACATGTACGGATTCACGATGTGCATGGCCGCAACCTCCGCGCGGGCCCTCAAGTCCGTCCTGCAAGGGATCCTGCTGTCGTCAGATGGGTGAGTTTGGACTGGGGCCCTTTTTTTGCGGGTGCGCCTGCTTCGTTTGGTTATTGCTTCCACGTCTACATCTGGTGTTTGAATCCTTTGCCCGCAGGCTAAGCTCTCAATTTCAGAGTGGCTTCGACTCGAGCACATTTCGAGCGTCCAAAAAGCGTCCGAAACATTCCGCATACTCGTCCAAGGTGATGGATTCAGGCAGCGAGAAATTGCTGATAAAGCTTCAGTCTCAGAAATACGACCTGCCGAGTTCGCTGGCCGACACATCTTGTCCGACAGCTCCCGATAGGTGACAGACCAAACCTGTTTGAAAGAGGCTTGTGCGACTTGGTTGAAGCGGCACAAAGCGTCTGATTACCGTCTGACAAACTTTCCCGCCCTCGGTGAACCTTGTAACCCGACCTCCGGACGATTCGTGAAAGGGACCGCTGCGTGAACCGATGCTGCAAACCTCTGCAGGGCAAAGCCAGAAGCCTGACGAGTTTCTTCTCCCGTCAAAGCGCGCTCTTCGAGGGCCCCGTCCGAGTAACTCTGTGATTGTGAACAGTGTAATCTGTGAACTTTAGTCGCAGGGAAAACTCAACTCAGTGAACCTGCTGATATACGAGGCCCTTGTTGCTGTGGTGACGTCTGTCAAAGCTAGTCCGCCTCGACCCCGATGTCAGATGCAACCTTCAATATTGCGCCATTGCGCGAGTTTCAGCCCCACTTGACCGCAAAATCTCAATTGCAGGAAGAAGCTGGATTCAAGGAACCTGCTAATGGCGCCCTTCTTGGTAGTAGTAGCGTCAGCGTTGCCGGCCTTAAACTCTAATGTTTGATCCAGTTTCTAAGCCGCACAATATTCGAAAACCTCTGACGTGCTTAAAGATCCGGAAACCTTTCCTGCAGAAAGAAGCTGCACTCGGTGAACCTGCTGATGTTCATGGCGCTCGTCCCGTGGTGACGGTGTCAAAGTGATCATCCCCTCTTCCGATCTTTAATCCACGGTCCAAAATGAGCATTTTGGAAAAGTCGCAACCCCCTTAAACCTCTAAAAGCTCTCTGCAGAGAGAAGTAGACCTGCTGATGTCCATGGCGCCCGTCGCGCTGGCAGTAGCGTCAAACTTGCCCGTCTCAAAATCGGATGTGAACCCAAGATTTCGATCACGCAGACCCGAGATTCTGACGCCTTCAAGATCACAAACCTTCTTTTCAGGGAGAAAGTTTTCTTTAAAATCACGTATACGCTGAAGCCCTCTTTCAAGGAGAATCTGAACCCAAGAACCCCGAGACACTAACATCTCAGTTGCAGGAAGTAAGTCAAACCCAGAAATCCTCATACTTTTGAACCCTTGTTTGCAGGGAGAAGCTAAACTCGATGAACCTGCTGATGTACATGGCGCCCGTCGCGGTGGTGGTCCTGCTGCCAGCGACGCTGGCGCTGGAAGACAACGTGCTCGGTATCACCGTCGAGAAGGCGCGCGTGGACGGGCCGGGCATCCTTTTCCTGCTGTTCCTTAACTCGGGGATGGCCTACTTCGTCAATCTGACCAACTTTCTGGTTACCAAGCACACGAGTGCACTCACCTTGCAAGTGAGTATGTGAATCGGTTGTCGCACTTTGTCCACTCTGTTTTTGGTCAACTCAGCTCTGGCTTGCTTCGTCGAGCTTGAGATCAGTCGTTCGGTTACGAGGGAAAGGAGCGCACTTATTGTGCAAATATGTCGTCGCCACTGGTGGGCTGTTTGTCGCAAGTCTTTTCACCGCGGAGACGGAATTCAACGGTGGGAGAAAGCGAAACGAAGTTGCTCGGTCAAAACTGCCGGGCTCAGAGCGTTTCTGTTCCCTTTCGTGTCAGCACGACGTTGTCTGTGCATGCATTGAAGCCATAGCCGAACGTCAAGCTCTTGAGCAACTCCTGAGTTGGTCGGACTCAGGTAGAACATCGTAATGTGAATACTTCAATAAACTAATCTGTCGCTTTGTCCCCTCCCTATGCAGGTATTGGGAAACGCAAAGGGGGCTGTAGCGACCGTAGTCTCCATACTGCTGTTTAGGAATCCGGTTACGGTTATGGGCATGGTTGGCTACTCGATAACCATCACAGGAGTTATAGCATATAGTGAAGCCAAACGACGATATAAACCACAGTGACACCCTCTGATCCGCAAGGTGGTTGTGACGTCCGCGTACCTTTGCTTGTTATTCCGACAGACTCTAGTAAATTGTAAGTATCAGGCAATGCTGGCCTGTTAGACATCATAATGTCATACAGTAGACTGTATTAGTTTGAGATTGTAGAGATATGTATACTGGTCATTATCTGCCGGGCGAAAGTCGACTGAGCGTGGCGTACGAAAAATCCATCCTGATGCGTGCCAGTCCTACCCGGACTCAGGATTCATGCTTTGGCGCAGCCGACTAGCTCACGTCGTTGATAAGTTGTGCATAGTATTAAGTTCGCGTGCAGCCCTCCGCCTGTATGCAATTAAGTTGTATGGCGTGTCATAAACTTACCTCTAAATCGTGCATGGGCCGGTAAACTGCACGTGATACCATCCTGAAGTACCATATATGTATCATTGATCGTTGCTGGCCTGCAATTGTACGGCTCTCGAGCCGGTGCATCTGATCTTCACGCATGTATATACAGCGGGTGGAAAACACGTATCTAGAGTATGACGATGACATGACCCGGGGCATACGCGCCATCCGACCGCTTACATATGCATCGAATGAGTACTATTGAGCGATTAAGCAAATCGCTCAAGCATATACTAAGGTATGATTATGCCTATTGAAAGTTGCATGAACATGTGGGCCACACGTACATGGACCAACAATATATATGCCTTGATTATAAGATTCAAGGCAAGCATGCATGGGCCGCGATGCCCTTTGGAGAGACTCCATTCATGATCCCCAGACTTCCTGAAAGTACAAGTCAATCCTTGGGACCAAAGCGAGATCAAGCCCCCATGAGTACCGATTGAAGCTGGCAGCATGCTGCATGATCCTGACGGTCTGGGAAACATTTCTTTGTTCACGAGTAGGCGCGTAAGCGCGTCTGAGCATTGCGTGTCGTTCTGCAGTATACCATACCTCATCTACTAGAACCAGGATACCCAAAGCTTCAAATGAGCAACCCGTGCTATTGCAGAACCTGGATGTCGCTAAAGCACCAAAACGCCCGGATGGCAGACCCTGCGATCATCAGACCTAGGCACTAGACGGTATCAATCTTGCTTGCCGGCTTTGCTTGTTGGTGACGTGGCAACGGGGTTTCGAGGGGCGGATTGAAAAGACCCCTGCAAAAGGAAGCCAGTGATTCGGTGGTCAGGAACGTTAAACTCACGCGATACTTCGTTGCACAGGTTCGGCGAACCTGAAAGAAACCAGGAACTGTATCTTCCTTCTTCGCATGCACACCCATTTCGAAACAGTCCTACTATAAATTGCATTTCACCGCACTGTAACGCATGCATCGCCAAGCTCACCTGACTTGCTCCCGACGCATTTTCTCCCCCAGTTGAGTTCCCCGGTCTTTGCCAAACGGCCTTGAACGCAGGCTTCGCCGCCTCGCTACCCGTGCCGCCCCCAGGAGGACCTGCCCCGGCGCTTGCCCCCTTTTCGTTCTCTACCAAAAGCGCCCGGTGACTCAACCGCAGCTGGCCCCGCTCGTTGATCTCTAGGAGCTTCACGTCTAGGGTGTCGCCAACCTGCGGCGTCGACTTCCAAGTCAGCTTAAGCGTCTTTGATGTCAGCATAAAGTAAAACTGTCCGAGTCAGCTTCAAGATGCTGTCAGATTCTTAGTCGGAGCGCCAAGAGATTCGGTTGCAGTAATAGGGTCAACAAGATTCCGTTGACGAGGAGAGAGGTGGATTCCACGCCCGGCAGGGTGAGCTTTTACAGCCCAATAGTATTGCCAGGTATGCATCTTTTAACCAGGAGCTCGTTGTTCAAGCGCGGCCTTTATCTTGTAACCAGTCTGCAAATTATGGGCGGCTCGAGACCTTTCAGGAGAGCTTCTTTCGTCAGGAAGAATCCTGACGAGCCAATGCTGCGTGCCAAATTTCCACGACATGCAACAAACCGTTTTTGACCTGTTCTCGTTTTTGAGAAGCAGCACTTGCACTACTCTGACAATCCACGAAAAGGTGAGGAGAGCGGTCAGGAGAGAGACGGTGCGAGTCGAGGATTGAGGCCGGCCATTCCGCCTCTACAACGGTGGGAAAAAGACAACGGCTGAAGTAAACGGAAGCCGGAAATCGCTCTGAGACACCCTGGGGCGCTCGAAGCAATCCAGTGCAGTCTCCAAGCGAAGCAGAACGTCTTTGAACTACACCAACTTCTTAAGCGAACTCAAGCCGACATACAAAGTGGTGTGAACAGGCCCTGGAGCGCGTTCCCACCTTGAAGTGGTCTTCCACGTTTTCGATGCGCGTCATGCTGAGCTCACGCACGTGGACCAGCCCCTGCTTGCCCGGCGCGATCTCCACGAAGCATCCGTATGGAGCGACGCCCTGCACCGTGCAGTTCCTGCGAAAACAATGGGGGGAGCTATCATACGCCGGCGGCAGTGCCTGCGGCCCGCCGCTCCGTTAGTGCTCAGTACTTGGCTTTACAATACCGGTACCGTTGCTTTTGTTTCAAGGTACCGGTACCTAGTACGGTTCAAACCGGTGTACCCGTAGTGGCACGTTGAGCGTTTGCTGAAGCATCTCCTAACAGACGTTGCGGGTTGTATAACCTTCTCTACTACTCGTGGCGCATTGCTTTGCCAGACCAAGACTTTGAAAGTCGACGAACCTTCAAGTGGGTGCCCAGGAATGGATTGGAAGTGCTTTGCTGGTTGAAAGTGAATGCGGCTACAAAGCACTTACACCTCAATCTTGGACTGAGTGCCTGCACCTATTGAAGCACTAGATCATCGTCCAGCCGCTTCACTTCCACATATTTGAAGCCCCAGTCTTTTCCCCACTTTCTTTGGACGTCAAATCGAGCTTTTCGGAAACGTTCGCGACCTGATGAGCCGAAATGGAGGCTGCTCATGTAATGCAGACCTCTTGAAAAGCACCATAGCTGTAGCCGTCAGCTACGATCCAGACGGTGAACAGCGCCGTAGTGCAGTCCTTCTAGACTCTCTGGCGGTCAACTTTTTCCAACCGCTTCCTCCATTAGTCCGCACGCGCATTCAGGAATTCGACTTCCGCTCTTCGGGGTGGTCCCAAGCCGATCAGCGCCCGTCTTCATCCCAAAAGCTGACTTCAAAAACCGGTACCGTACCTGTACACTGTTCCAACCTCTGGAACGGTGACTAGCGCCATGATCCGGTCCTTTGCAAGCGCGAGCTTGTCTCCGTCGGCACACAGTCTTCAGGCCACTGATTCTAAAATCATATTTAGACTCGCAAACAAGCAAGACGCTTTCCAAAACTACGGCGAGATCCCAAAACGCCAAATACAAAAGATGTACCGTACCTGTACACGGTCCCAACCTCTGGAACGGTGACCAGCGCCATAATTCGGTCCTTTGCGACCGCAAGCTTGTCGCTGTCGGTGCCCAAAATGGACACAACGCCCTCGTCCGAAATCTCCACATTGTCGACGCCTGAGTCCTCGATGATTGCGCGGATCGTCTTACCGCCGCTGCCTACTACGAGACCAATCTTATCTTGGTCCACCTGAGGAGAGATTTGGTTTTAGGAGACGAAGGATAATCTTGGTTGAGAAAAGAGGGTTTTCGGGTTCTCAGATTCGTCTTCCCACCGCTGCCAACTACCAGCCCAATGTTGAATGGTTCACCTGTGGAAAAGTTTTAATGAAGCATAGTCTTGGTCAAGACAAAACAGTTTCGGAGCCCTGAGAAGTCTTGCCACCGCTGCCAACTACCAGCCCGACCTTGTCTTGGTTTACGTGAGGAACGCAACCGGCCTCAGAGAATGGAACTGCGAAAGTCCAATCTTCAACGAGAAGGTTTTCAAGGAAGCTCCCCTTCCGGACCATTTTTGGCGCATGTGACAAGAGCTGATGGACGCATGCGGCAAGAGCTGACCCAACAAAGGATCGACAAAGACAAATGGTTCGTCTCACCTTTAGCCTGACTATCTTCGGCGCATACGACGAGAGCTGCCCCCGCGGCGGCGGCTCGCACGCCTTCATCTCGCGCAGAATGTGCTTGCGCCCCGCCTTGGCCTGCTCCAGCGCTTTCGTCATCACGTCCACCGTGATCCCCTCCACCTTGATATCCATCTAACGTCAGCAGAACAGTCGTGTGTCAGCATCTCGTCGCCGTTCCATTAGCAGTGAGTGACAAGTTGGTTCCAGTGATGCTGCGGTTACGTGCACGGTAGCTTCCCGCTTTCTTGAGGTCCGTCCAACGTCGCAGAAATCAACAAGCACCCCTCAAACGCAATGATGCGGCCATGTGAAGGAAGAAGGCCCCGAATTGTTGACAATAAGATTTACGATTCTCGCCAGTCTTCCCCTCAACCTGGAACGTCGTACCCGCAACTTACCATATCGGGACTCTGACTTTCTTGTTCACCATGAGATAAGAGATCGTGGCCATGTATTCTGAACGGGCAAGAGCACGTAATCCTCGCAAGTACTCCTTTTTACGGACATGAAACGCCTTGATGACATCCTCAATACCCTGCTACGTCAAAGTGCAAACTCCCTCAGTTGTGAACCCTCCTGAGCAGTCATCTTCGAAGTAACGAGAGCGATGGAATTCTCTTCTGACCTACCTGGAACGCTGTGATTGCATCCTCCGTGCCTGCAACTTTGAAGTCCATGTCTCCCAGCGCATCTTCCGACCCCAGAATGTCAGTAAGAATCATGGGCTGCCCGTCTCCTCCTGCTGACGCAGTGTCTAGAATCAGTCCCATGGCCACCCCCGCCACCATTGACGTCAGGGGGATCCCTGCGTCCAAAAGCGCCAGGCAGCCGCCGCAAACGGAGGCCATGCTGCAAGAAATTGACGAGGGTTAGGGTAGGGTTAGGACAAGGGTTGAAGTGAAGTTTAGGGTCAGGGTTTTATGATTTTCTATCGCTGAGTCCTGCAAAGTAGGACTGCTGAGCGCGTTGGGATAAATTTGGGTTGAGGATAGGGGAACGCTTGCGCCCAGGAGTGCGAGGCAGCCGCCACGAATGGAAGCCATGCCATCCTGGTGAGGATGACGAGGGTTAGGGTTAAAGTTGAGGGTAGCTTTGCACGTTTTCTCGATCGAACTTGGTATACAAGAAAAACAACTCCTTTCGCAGCTGGAAAACGCAAGCATGACACTCCTCAAGTAGGCTACTGACGCCCCACAAGAACGTTGTCGATCTTTCACATGCCGTAGGGAAGGTATAAAAGATCGTTTCGAAAGTGAAAATTTCCGAAAGAGCCCTACTTAAGAACAAAAGGACCCTCTCACCTGGACGACCCGTTACTTTCGGTGATGGTGCTCTCAACGCGCATCGTATAGGGGAAGCTGAGCTGGGGGGGAAGGACCGGTTCTAGCGACCGCTGCGCGAGCATGCCGTGGCCGATCTCGCGCCGGCCCGGGGCGCCGACTCGCTTGGTCTCGCCAACGGAGGAGGGGGGAAAGTTGTACTGGAGAAGGGATCGGAAACATGCGTTAAGTAGCAGTAAGGCTAGTCGACAGAAATCAAGTCGGAGAGCAAATGCATATAAGTGGGTGAGGGGGGTGCTGGACGATAAGCTCCAGCAATCAAGATTCCCTTGCGAAGACAGGGGCGAGCCGATCGGCCTACCGAATGAGTGGGGTTCGCGCCCAATTGACAAATCGGCAGAAAAACGGCTCAAAGTCCTCCTCGGCTCTGGCTTGGCCGAAGGTGGCATCAAAATCGTCCAGCACGTCTGTTTACAATACGACGAGGATGCTACCTGGTATCAAGACATCCGAAATTCGGAAATGCTGACTCCTCCAGTTAACAGTCCTTAGCCTTGAATATAGCTCTGTGGCTTTTCAGGTTTCGGGCGTTTTGACATTTCGAAACTTCTGCTAACCCAAATGTAGAAGCGGTCGGCCTGCTGCCCCTGCATGTTGTGCTATCGCGCCATGTCCTTCCAAAACTCTTAACCGCACGAACAACTGGACATAAAAAATCCGATCCAAGAAAGTCGAAACGCCCTAGGATTACAACTGGTTCTCCTGGCTGCCTTGGAGGTAGAAGCGGTCGTGCCTGCCCACCCTGCATGTTGTCCTGCTTCTGCGCCAAGTCCCCCTCAACAGCCGTAACCCATACAACCCTCTGACAAGTAGAATCCTAAGACCAGAGCTTCAAAACACTCTGTGAATCAAACTGTTTGTCCGAGCTTACCTGGAGGTAGAAGCGGTCCGCCTGCTGCCCCTGCATGTTGTCCTGCTTCTGCGCCATGTCCTCGCCGCCAATCGTCACCACCGCCAGCGCCTGCGTCTCCCCGCGCGTGAACAGCGCGCTGCCGTGAACCCGAGGCAACAGGTTTGCGGAGCACTCAATGGGCCGTACCTCCTGCAGAGTGGAGAGAAGAACGATCTTGCTCTAGAATCAATCCGAAAGGTCGGTCGAAGGAGTCACGCTGACTCCCTACATTGACTCCCTTTGCGGAGCAAAAGCACGGCTTGTAAGAGCATGAAGAAAGGGAGTCAGCGCATGTGGAAAAGTGCGCGGCTTGGATGCGCGGTAACAGGTTCGCGGATGGGCCGTACCTCCTGCAGATTGAAAGTCACTAAAACATTTGGGTACCGATCAGGCTTAGGCAGGGCGCCGAAAACGTCCTGCGAAGAGATAAGCTGAAGAGGGCAAGCAAAAGAGGGAGCCAGCGCCGCCAAAACCTGCGCTTCCATGGACACGCGGCAACAGGTTCGCGAGCACTCAATTGGGGCATATCTCCTGCAGAGTGGAAACAATGCAGATTTGATCTGAAAGTGGATGGGAAAGGTCGTCCAAGGGCGTCACACTGACTCCCGTATGCTGACGCCCTTGGAAGCAAAAGGTTGACTTGAGAGAGCATAAAGGGAGGGGTCAGCGCCAGCGGAAGAGTGCGCTGCCGTGGATGCGCGGCAACAGTTTGGCAGAGCACTCAATAGACCGTACCTCCTGCAAAAGGGGACTGACTGGCGAGGGCCCCAAGAAAGTCCCGCTTTGGCAAAGCGAAAGTGAGCAACGATGGCCGTATGATTCTCACAGTCGTACTCCGTCCGCCGCTCCGCCGGTCGTCCTGGACCACAATCCGCCGCAGCACCCGCGATTTGGGGTCACCAAACGAAACCAAGAATAAACGGCAAAGATGGGTTATTGTCAGGACCGGAGACATACTCACCGTCGTACTGCGCCCGTCGCTCCGCCGGTTCTCCTGCACCACGATCCGCCGCAGCACCCGCGAGTTCAGCTCCTTGAACGCCTGCTTCACGGCGTCCGGATCGTACACCTTCGGCCGCCGTCCGGCGACCACCGCGTCCGGCAGCACCGGCTCCTCGCTCTCGTCAGCCGACAGGTCGATGACGTCATCCTCGCCGGGGTAGATGTCCTCGTCGTCGCTGTCGCTCTCTGCGGACTTCTGCGCGGTGCGGGGTTCGGTTGAGAGCATCGCTTATGCGACTATGAAGATGTCCGATGTGAGTGTTTGCGAAACACAATTGCGTGTTCCAAGGAACGAGGGGGGTATGCGAGAAATATTGACAGATGAGTCGATATGCGGAATTCAAGAGATGTCCCGCCGTGATAGTTTGCAACAGCACGCTTTCGAGACGCAACGGCCTGTTTGAGATGGATGGGAGGTGGTAACAGAGATTCGATCAGCACACCCGAAAATTGAACGGCTCAGATCTTCTATTCGGCATTGACTGGGCCAGCTCAAGTGGCAAGGTTCGAGAAGATGAGAAACATTTGGAGCACCTTTCGAAACATGAGAGAAGGCAAACAGCAAGGATCCATCAGAGGGGCTCCGAGGGTTCAACACGGAACGCTGCTCAGGCAGCAGTCTTGGCACCAAAGGAAGACGAGCAGAAAAGATTGCCACAGAGGGCTTAAAGGAAACGCTAGATCTTGCTTGAAGGTTCTCGCATGGGTTCGAAAGGATTGAGACAGAACGGACGGGGTGAAAAAGGTCCCAAAAGATTGGGCAAGAAACGGAGGGGCCGGAAAAGGCAACCGGTAGAACAGGGACGAAGCAGACGGCCTGCCACGTAAGGAAGCCTAACAAATGCGTAATGAAGGAAGATGCACACCGCTGGCATACCCCGCTTTCTTTGATAACAAGCCTCCTTGCCTATGCACCCCCTTCGCAACACTCATCCCAAGAGGCCGTGCAGAACAGCGGGCGGACGAACTCCGGCTCACCAGTTCGGCTCGGCCTTTCTCAGTCAACACCGACAGGGCCCTTTCCCCGATCTCCGCTACACGCGCCCCCCGCTCTTGCTTCTTGGAAATGCGCAGCACCTTGTCCAGATCAGCGCCCACCAGTCTCTGCGTGCGCACCATTTTGCTTGATGTCAAGTACACAAGGAAAGTTCTTAACGTGCCCGGCAAAGGGACGGAACCTGAGAGCCGACTGGACCCTCGATGCAGCCTGTAGTAAGTGTTTTTCAGAGAAGCCTAGAAGGATTAGAAAAGCTTCCCCGCCAGAGTTACTAGTACTACACGTCACAAACGAGCCCCAGAGCAGGTTGAATAATGATCAAGGGATTCAAGGGAAATACTTGACCCAGCAATTCAGGCCTTTGACGGGGCTTCAGAGAGAGCGGTCGCTCATGAGGTCAAACCGGCTGGCTCTTTCGCCTGCTTTTCCCATTGACATTGTAACATTAGTGACAAACATGAGCACGCAACCAATGCAAACATGGTTCTCCACTCCAGGGATTAGAACCGAGCGGCAGGGGCCTCACCTCGAGCATCTCCTCCAGCCCCTCTGGTGGTCGCCCCACCTTGTCCCACATTTTGGGCTTTCCCACCTCCTTAGCCCACTCCTCAATCGCATTGCAGACCCCGCTCAACGCGTCCTACGCGCGAAGCACGAAACCAAGTCACAAGATAGAGCCACACTTCCGCCCCTCACAAGTGACAATTTTCCAGACGCTACTTGAGTCGCCAAAGCACCCTACTGATCCGACTTGCGCGTTACACACCCCGCACAACATGTTCTCATTTCGGAGCAGTGCGAGCCTCAATGATTATATTCTTGGAGACAGTTTTGGTTGCAAAGCCCTCGTCTGACTTGCTACGAAGGAAGCAAAAATGCTTCATGAGGTGACACGTCCTTGAGACTGGTGCAAGCAACATGCAGGCATGGCCAACAAAGCCACAGCAAAGTCGCGTGAAAGGCCATGTACAACGCAACGCACCTGGCCTGCTTTCACCGCTGCCAAGGTCTGCTCTTCGGTGAGGCAGTCGCAGTAACCCTGGACATAGAGATACACTTCTCGAAATCAAAGCGAGGAGCTCTAATAAGCATATGACTTGATGGCAAGAGAGAATGTTGATAGCACAACGAACTTTTTTCAAAGGGCCTATCAAGATTACGTGGGACAACTACAAGAGTGCAACAGTGTCCTCTTTGAGCTGCTACGTACAATCTCAGGTCTGACTCCAGAAGCCAACTCAACTAAATCTCGTCGTCTGCAACGTTGTTGGACAAACCCCGACTCAAACCAGACTCGGATTACCAGCCCACAGTCAACTGCGACACTTTGGAGACCATGAATCCAAAGCGACTGCAGAATCCTCCAAGGACAGAAATGCGATGCCCTTGCTGGCTAACCTCGATCATGAGCACCGCATCTGCCGTGCCTGCCACCAGCATATCCAGCTTGGACATCGCCAATTGTGCTTTCGTCGGGTTGATTATGTACTCGCCGTCCTCTGCAGAGGGCAGCAAACTGAGTGTTCGGATCCATTTCAAAGCGGGAGCACTCTTAAAGTCCAAAGCTTAAGGGATATGTAATGAACTTCTCTGGGAATACCACATATCAACTTATACGGGACTTCCTGCCACCAGAATGGGCGCCATCAAAGCCATTTCACCACATGAGAACCAGTTGATAAAAGTCAGTGCCAACCGAAAGGGCAAAACACGGATGTTGATGAAGAAGTCATGCGAGCATACAAAATCAAAGAAATATACCCCAAGGCCGCAAGTCTAACATTGGCTCAAGAACAGTTTCCTGACAAGAATGAAACAACCACCCCTCACCACTCATCCCCACCCTGACCCCGGCCACCGCCTTTTTGGTCGGAATGTCCGAAATCGCGAGCGCCGCGCCCGCCGCCAAGATCGCAAGCGGCTCCGGCATGTGCTCCGTATCATAACTCAACACCCACACCAGCACCTGCGTCTCGTAATTGAACCCCTTGTCGCACATCGGTCGGAGCGGCCTGTCGACCAACCTTGACACCAAAACCTCGTTGTCTCTCGGCCGACCCTCCCGCTTGATAAACCCTCCGGTGGTTCGCCCTGCCGCGCTGAACCGCTCTTGGTAGTGGACGCTGAGAGGTGCGAAGTCGGCCGGCTCGGAAGGGCGGTTGTCCGCGCAGGCCGTGCAATACAAGACGGTCTCGCCGTCGGTTACAGTGACCGCACCGTTGGCCTGGCGGCCCATGCGGCCTGTCTCGATGGTAATGGTGCGGTCGCCGAGGGGGACTGTGATGCTCTTGGGAGAGAGCAGCTTGGTTCGTTCCTGAGGAAGAGTTTCTGCGGCGCTCGCTTCATTGGCAATTGCAAGAGTGCGATGGGCGGGTGGCGGGTTTTGAGCTGGCCTTGATAGGCTGTTTTGCATGCCCCAAAAATGAGAGCTCCGCAGGGGTCTTGGTATTCTCAAACTCTGGGCGTTTGATGATCGATCATTTCTGTACATGCAAAGCCGTGCCTGGCTTGAGAAACGGCGCGTGACCCGGTGAACGTCTACTGACAGGGGATCCTTGATCGCAGGGTGTGGCGAATAAAACCCTGAAGCAGAATTCTCCCCCACATTGTTACACGCCGCTCGTGCGGCACTCCTTGGCACAGAGCAGGAGGGCTGCAGCCCCAGGCATGCAGAGGATGCCGCCATCGCAAGAGCTCACTGCATTGCTTGCCCACACGGCTAGTTCACATGGACTGCATAAGCGCTCTGCCACCGCGGAGTCGTCTGATCGAGAGCTCGGCGGCCGACTTTTTAACAATTGCCGGATGCCACCACCAAAGGAGCGTTACTTGATCAATGGTGGGTTTGTTAGCCTCCCTGCTGCACCGCCCTGGCCTTTGACACGACGCCCTGCACAATCATGCACCACTCACTGCACTCTCTCCCTTTCCAGCTGCTCTGGGTGGGTGGTGCCACACTGCGCTTTGCTTCCCCAGCTTCCCTCCCTACCGTCCTTCCAGCCGAGCCATCTTCCTCAAAGCAGCAGCTTTGACTCCGCCTCCGAGTCCGAGCTGTTCAGACAGATAATTTGCGTTTCGCTTGCAGACTAACCAGAGCACTGCAATTTGCGTTTTGCTTGCAGAGCACTGCAAAACCTGGTCGTTCTTACAGATCACTCGAAATTTCTATCCATCAAGCGGCGGGTTCCAGCCACATGAAAAGCAGGTTCGGGACTAAACGGAGAGGATTGAAGCTGGTTTAATACATGCACCAATTCTCGGTTCAACCTTAACCCAGTCCATGTTGCTAGGGCCAGAGGTGTGCAGCAGAAAACTGATCAAACTCCATTCAGGTTGCAACTTTTCAGGAAAGGAGCTTGAGATACCCTCTCAGCTCTGTCTCACTTTTCAATTTCTCATTCTTGAATACATGTGCTGAACTTCTCACGTCAGTTTCGAACCACTCCAGCCCCAACCATGTCCTTGGCGCCGTGTCAGGTCGCCATTGCGTGGGTCTGCACGCTCGCTGTCTGAATTGATCTTTAGCTTTCTTATCGCATCCTTCCGAGATTGGCAGCAACCTTGGGATATCGCCGCATCTTGTGAGCGGGTGTTTGAGCGGATTCCTGCTACACGCCTGGATCGTAAGAAGGTTTGTGAAGGCATTCTGAACAAAAAGTTGCGGTGATAGTGAAAGGAAACGGTTTAGTGGCAGGATGACGGAAAAGCAGGAGGACGTTGGACCGAAGGTGGAGCCGGAGAGGTGGTATCCTGTAACACTCGGTTCAACGCTTGCCGGAAGCTCTGGCGACCGCCTGTACACGATGCGCTGTGAGTAGCCACACAGCTTAAAGTGCTTCCACGCAACGCCCTTTTTGTCACCTTGCACTTTGTTTGCATATCACCGCTGGTCGATCCGGTCCAAGTTTTCATTGTCAAATGACCTGACCAAGGCCCAGCTCTCAGAAACCAATCGAATAGGTGTCTTTTGTGCACCTTTACGAGGAAATGGAGTGCATCGTGTTTCGATCAACCCATGCCCTTGCAGATGGGCCCTTTCCAGAAACAAAAAGGTTTGCTACAACGCATCACTTCATGTGCCTTGTAAAGAATGCACCGTGGTTGCTCCTTCTTGCCTGTGGGGTATCCTTACCACAACCTTAGTTGCTGACTGTCTGGACCAAACTTCATGCAATATTTCAAGTACCCAGGGGTTGGCGGATGATGAAAGAAAATGTCTCAAACTTGCGGAGTGCCCCGGCACGATGTTGAGATATCAATGTAGACCCTGACGCCATTTACTGTGTGGACTCCTGCAAGCTTTTTCAAGCCTAGCGTGCACTTGAAAGTCAATCACCATCTTGTCTTTGCAAACGCTTCCCTGCGTTGCCCCGTTCCAGTCTCCATCTCGCTTCTTGCATCTCGCTTCTTGCTCTCTAATTTTCTTTCTCTTATTGAATGTATCGGAATGCGGACGTCTCTCTGTGCGGACAATGTCAAGCCAGCAGCCTTCGAGGGTCCGTCTCGCTTCTCGTTTCTTTCGTATCCCCAAATCTTGATCAGAAGCACTTGAAAGACTGTAACAGTCAATGGCTGCTAAAACCAGGAGGTTGTCCAATGGATCCTCATATGTCTTCTCCTTGGCTTCTCCTTTCCGTTCTTTGGAAGAAACCAGATGAAGGAGCAGTGAATGTCTCTCGAGCTCCACCTTGCTTCCTGTCCGCCTCCGTTTCTTTAGTTTGTGGATCTGAAGTTGGCCAAATGTCTCGTCTGTGCAAAACACCTTTAAGACGGCATCTGTTCGGAGCTCCACCTCGCTTCTCGTTCCTTTGTCATCTCTTCTTTGTGGATCGAAATGAGGCGGAGCTAATAACGGAAACGTCTGTTTTCCATGTTTTCTCAAGCTGGCATCCCTTCGAAGCTCCATCCCGCTCCTCTTTCGAGTTTCCACCACCTGTTGGCAACTGCAATAAAAGCTATCAGACAATCTTTCTGTGCAGACACCTTCAAGCCGGCATCTGTTCGCAGCTCCACCTCCGGCTCGCTCCACATCAGCGGCGACAACGAGGTCACAATGGAGTTCCACCCCCCGGCCGCTGGGAAGCCCAACTTCGTCTTTCAGGGCAAAGCCGAACCTTGCAAAGAACTAGAGGCGGTCCTCTTCTTCGACGGAGAGAGCTTCACGATCGAGAAGCTAGCTCGCAGCATAGGCAGTCTGCGGCACATCAAGCAGCAGAGCGGCGGGGGGATGACGTCAGCGGGAGCGGAGAGGCAGGGCGGGGCGGCGGTTGAAGCGGAAAGGATAGACTCGCCAGTACAGGAGAGGGACGGCGGCGGCGGGGCGAAAAGCGATGGGGAGCAGGAAGAGAGGCCGGAAGTCGGCAAGAAGGGACCGAAGCAAGGTGCGATTCACCGCTGCGCTTCTTGCCGTCCGATTCGTCAGTACAACGTGGATGGCGCGAGCTACTTTGACTCGAGCGACTCATATGTTAATTCCCGATAATGTAGGCGGGCTCTGCTGCTGACATCATAACGCCCACTTCACCAGCAAAGGAGTGCATAAAGATCCAGGGAGTCTTTGTCCAGGATCCAACCCAGTTGCTATAGTCCGCTTTGAATGGGCATTCTGGCAGCACAAGGGCTGCCACACTTGCGGGTTGAGCAAAGAGCTGCAAAAGGGCGCTCAGGCGAAACATTGGCTTCATAGCATCTCAGGATTGTGTCTCAGAGCCGCGTGCAGCCATACTTAGTTTTCTCCGGGTCCCCTTCCTGACACGTCTTTCTTTGTTGGCAGGCGGCAAGGGTCCGACAAGCCAAAAGCACCCCCCCGAACGACCCTCCGGGAAACGAAAACCGGGCGCGACGGAAGCCCCAGGACCAAAGCCCTCGAAAGCCGGTAAAAAAGCAGAAAAGCCGCCCGAAAGCTCTGTCAGGGCAGACCCGGCGCCTGCTGACGTGGAGCACATCGAAGAGGAGGAGGTTGTCGAGGAGATCGTCGAAGAGATCATTTACGAGGAGGAGGAGGCGCGGCCGGAGGCGCCCCCCCGGCCGAAGGCCTCGGCGTCGACGCGAGTGAAGAGCGGGTTGGTGGAGAGCTCGAGCGACAGCGGGCACAGCTCCGGGTCCGGCAGCGATGACGACAGCGATGACGATGATGACGACGAGGACGACGACGATGACGACGGAGATGACGACGGCAGCTCGGGGAGCGACGATGACTCGTAGATAGGTTTTCGAGGAAACACATTCATAAGTTGTACAGTACTTTATACGTATACTTACGTCCTGCTGCTGCACGCTTCTGGGATTGCCTGAGACTCAGCAATGCGTTTTTGGGTCGAGTTGCAACCCTCAGATACAATTCCGTGTTTTGGATAACTCTGGACTGGTTGGAGCCTATTGGGTTTTGGGCATTGAAACATCTTTCTGGATCGTTACTCCATGGCCAGATGTTCGAATGTACCGGGCTAGACATGCATACTGGTGACCTGGAAGCGCCTGAAGACTTAGGTAACCCGACGACATCCAAACATAAAATTCTGAATCGCGATTGATCCCATGAGCATGGTCGCATCATGCGCTGCCCATGACTTACTTCTGTGCATCGGATCACGTCAGCTCAACTTTAGTCTTCTAGTAGGTCATTGGCGAAGCTTCACAGTTTCGATGGAAGAATGGGCCATATGCAAACCGGACCGAGTATATCATGAATGAAGGGCCACCATACAAGCGCGTCGGCGTCGAACTGATCTTAGTGCATCGAGGTTTTTGGAAAGTACGTACTCTGTTGCATACGTCGCATCATGGCACGATCAACGAAGTATACCGTCCGGCCCAGGTCTGATTAGCCAACCTAGCTCATATGCAAATCGCAGATCGATCGCTCGGTGCGTCCCCGGGCCACCGGCCCAATCAAATAGTCGATCACGGATGGTGCAGTATGGTATAGGAGCTCAAGTACCGTAGTCGGCCCTATACATTATGCCAAAGTGAGTAAGATGTACTATAGGGCGACTAGGACGACAAGGACGACAGGTTTTGATCCAGCCAATTCGGTCATGCCGCCATTAGATGCACTTTTCATGAGCACTCAGACGGTTAAAGCTGCGCAGCAGTCTCAGCGATAATACCTCAGCCCAAGGTAACCAGAGAGAGTCATCAGTGGTCAGATGTGTGCATGTAAAGATCAACTGAGACCCTCTTCAAACTTGCCAGAGCTATTTCGTATGCTGCGTACCACCTGCGTACTATGATGCTGCAGAGCGGGTACGGCCTCAGAAGTTTCTGCTGAATGTTTGGTTCTTGACATGTTGGCGTGAGAATGTGCCGGCACTCAGCAGTCCGTTCCTGTCCAGATCTCGCCACTTGCTTGTCGCGACGGACATCTGAACGCCGCTATCCCCTGCTAACGACCGACCTGGCAAAGGTCGACGTCCTGATGCGTCCATTGAACGGAACAAAATTGTCTTCTGCAAAGGGCTGCCCGGTGGTAGTCACAGGGTCGGCTGTCGTCGCAAAAGCCTCAAAGGAGCTGAAACACCCAGTTTAGCGGCGCCCTAGGCACAAAGCTCCTGACGAACCGAGCGGGAAGCATTGCCACGTGGAAAGCCCACATGGCCCTCGGAAGAGCGGCGGTGAACTGCAGTGCTGCCACGTGGTTGACCAAAATGGTACCGCTCAAGGTTTTGGGACTATACATCCCGGGCAGAGAAACCTCAGTAATGTTCGCAACTCTCTGGGCCAGAAGCGCGGATTGACCGTTGGATGGATATCCCCGGGCCACCCAAACGAGGTCCCCTACTCGGACCTCACTGAATGTCACAATAGTAGCGTTGGCGAAACTGAGGGCAGAAGCAGCGGTGCTAGCCGGGGGGCGGTGGGCGAAGACGTAATGATGCGGAGTCCCGGATATGCTGGCTCCCTCCTCGGTTTGTAGACGAACGTATGTGGCCTGCAAAGTTCGAAGACAGTCCGAGCAACAACTTGGCCGGATGGCATCACAGGGGCCCATCGACGTTCGGCGCTTGGGCACCGATTGAAGAACGCATTCGCATTCTGACAGGAAGCACATCTAACAGGTTGTACCAAGGAAAGTGTAAACAAAGCGTCTTGGGACCGGCGTTGAGGTATCGGCGCTCTGGTGATATCGACAGGCCGTCATAAGGCAAGGCACTGAAAGGCAACTGCACACGCATTCCGACAGACGTCTAATACAAAGCCTAAAATGAATTCAACCTTAGTGGGCTCGAAATGGGAGACAGCCGTCGAGAACTAATCCCCACCTGTTCATCGGACTTGTGAGTGAACCAATAAACCTCCTCAACAAAGAGGCGACCGTCTCGTGGGTCTATGACAAAGACTCGGTCTCCCAAGCAAAGGTCCGCCATCCGCTTTGCCGTTCCGTCCTCTAAGGTCACTTCTGCGTCGGCCGCAAAACAGCCTCCTTTCTTTACCTCCGGCGGTGGGATTGTCGGACTGTTAGGGGGTGGAGGGAACGAGGCTGGATTTGGATAAGGGGAGGCTGAAGGATAAGGGGGGTATTGCGGGAACGAGGGAGGGGGGGGGTGAACTGGCGTTGGGGAAGCAGCCGGCGCTGGGGGTGGGAATGTCACAATCGACCATGTGGGAACCGACACGACTAGAGTGTCTGCGCTGACACCCCTCTCTTGCAGAGCCGACGAAAACGAGCCCGAAGACACGGACTGCGAGATCGCCGACGCGACGGCGGTGACGTCAGCCGTGCGGTTCACGGTGACGCTGATGACGACCTCCACGTGGGCGCTGACGGTCGGCGGGTCGGCGGCCTGCACCTGCGTGGGGGCCAGGCCGAGGGCAACTAGAGCGGAGGTAACGCTCCCGCTGTCGAAAGCGCCCGTTACCGACTGGATCACGGCCTTGGCCTGCGCGCCGTCCCCGCACAGGATGCTGAAGGACACCCGGAGGGTTCCGGCGGACTGGAGCAGCCCGCGGCGCCGCCTGCTTTCCGCGGCGCTCTCGACGGAAACGGAAGACGGATCGACGCCGGACTCCGCCGCGATCGCGCGGACGAACGCGTCGCGGCCGCCCCCGTCGGCCCACTCCCCGGGGCTGACGTTACCGATGGCGCACGACTGGGCCACACTGAACGGAATGGAGGCGACCGAAACGGCGCCCGCGTCGAGCCCGTTTGCGGCGGCCAGCGACCGCTCGATGTCCCCGGTTTGGACCGCTTCTGGGTCGGCGAGATTTGCCAGCGCGACGCCAAGGTTCAGAGTGGCGGCGACAGCCGCGGCGGGGGGGCTTGGAGAGGGCGAAATTGCGGGGGGTGACAGAGAAGGAGCGCTGCTGGGGGACTGAATCGTAGGGGAGACGGAAGGGCTTGCAGCGGAACTCGGCGACGGAACGGGAACTAGGCTGGGGGATGCTTTTGCGGACGGGCTGGGGAGAGGGCTTCCGGAGGCGCTGGCGGAAGGGCTCGGGACGGAACTGGGTGAAGCGCTTGGTTTTAGAGTGGAGGAAGGACTCAGACTGGACGAAGAGCTTGGGGCTGGACTAGAGGAGGCACTCGGGGTCGGGCTCGAAGAGGGGCTTTGCGAAGGGCTAGGGGAAGGGCTGGGAAGTGGGCTTAAGGAAATGGAGGGGCTCGAGACCGGGCTCTCTGAAGGACTAGGAACCGGGCTGTTTGATGGGCTAACAACCGGGCTGGGACTTGCACTGGTTGCCACCGGGGGGGGAAATGAAGGCGGAGGAGGGAGTGTAGCAGGCGGAGGGAGGATTGAAAAGGGAGGAGTTGCGGCCGGGGGAGGGTTTGCAGCAGAGGGAGGCGGAATTTCGGCCGGGGGAGGGACTGCCGCTGGGGGGGGTTCTCTGGGTGGTGAAGCAGTTGTGGTTGGGGGAGGAACTGTGGCACCTGTGGGATTCGAAACAGGGGGAGGATTTGCGGCGGGAGGAGGCGTTGTGGGAGGGGCTGGAGTTGCTGCGGGGGGAGGAAGCGAGGTTGGGGGAGGCATCCAAACGGGAGGAGGAAATGAGATTGGGGGAGACATCGAAAGGGGGGGAGGTGAGATCGGGGGAGGCATCGATACGGGGGGGGGAGTGAACTCGGGGGAGGCATCGAAACGGGGGGAGGTGAGATTGGGGGAGGCATAGAAACGGGGGGAGGAAGTGAACTCGGGGGAGGCATCGAAACTGGGGGAGGTGAAGGTGGCGGAGGCATCGAAACGGGGGGAGGTGAGATCGGGGGAGGCATCGAAACAAGGGGAGGAGGTGTCACGGGGGGAGGATCTTGGACCGCGGTGGAGGCATTTTCGCGGGGGAAGCAGGAGGGGGCAATGAGATTGGGGTGGGGATCTCGATTGTGACGGGGGGAGGGTTTTGGAGGGGGGGCGACGTTTGAATCGGGGGAGGAACGGCCAGAGGGGGAGGGCCTGTGGCCTGTGGAGGATTTGGGACTGGACCGGGGGATTCCGTTCCGAAATTAGGGGTCGCGACCGGAGTGGACGACGGAACCGGAACGGGAGTTGCGGCAGCGCCAACTTGGATGGTCGCGTTGGAAGCGCGGCCGTCGTTATCCGTTGACGTCAGCACGAAGGTGTAGCTCCCGGGTACAAGCCCGGTCACGTTCGCCACCCTTGAAAGCGCATTTTGCACCGCCGGTTGGTTCGGCCCGGCCGCCTGCTGCCAAAGGAAGCAGCTCTCGCGCGGCGCGGCCGCGGGCGCGTCAAGTAGCCGCCGGCGCGCGCGCGTGCACTGGCCGTTGTCGTCGCGCGTGGGGATGCACCCGCTGTTGTAATTGTTGTCGATGCACCAGCGGCAGCCGGCGGTCTTCAGACACGTGCGCTCGTCCTGCGGGCAGTCGCAGAAGCAGTTCCACCCGAGCGCCGCGCAGTTGCCGCCGTCCCACCCGGCCGCGCACGCACACTTGTTGTTGGCGACGCACGTGCCGTGGCCGTTGCAGTTGTTGAAGCAGACAAGCGGGCTACGGCTGGGACTCGGGGCGGGGCTCCGACTGGCGCTCGGGGAAGGAACCGGGGACCGGCTAGAACTGGCGTTTGCGCTCGGGGCGGCGCTTAAGCTTGGAACCGGGCTCGCGCTTGGGCTTACTGGGGGGGTATTCACACTCGTCGAGGAAAGGGTCGGAGGTGCGCAGTCAAGACCCGTCCTGCCGTCGGCGCATACAAAAAGGTAACTAGAGTCGCCGCTCAGTGCACAGGTTCGAACGCCCTGGGAGGAATCAAAACCGGTGCAGGGACTGGGTGGCAATTCACACTTAGGCTCGGTGTAGCCGGCCTTGCACTGGCAGACCGCCTGGTCGCTGGTGTGAATGCACTCCCCGTGCGGGCCACAGTCGACGCCGTAGCACGTGGCGCAGGGCGTGGAAGCCGACCCATCGAGAAAGGCGAAGGTTTGGGAGGTTTGGAGCAGCGCGGCCACGACGAGCGCCTTCGGGCCGCCCGCGGCCGCGCAGGTGCCGCCCGCGCCGCACTGCTGCGCAGACAGGCTCCACGGCTGGGGGAGGCTCGGGGTACGGGGGCAGGGGAAGAATTCCGGCGACGTTTCGTTGCCCTTAAGGCAGGAGCAGGTCGCCTCGCACCAGCCGCAGCCGGCCTTGAGCGCGCAGTCGCTGCAAGTGCGCGCGCCGGAAAGGCGGCAGGGATCAGCGCACGTGCCCGGATTCGCCGCCCACGCATACGCTATGAGGGCCGCTTCAACCGGCTGCGAGCAGACCCCCACGTACGGCCCAAAGTCGTCGCCCGGGAGACACTGCGGACCGGAACCGGAACCGGAACCTGAAGCGCACCAGCCGCAGCCCTCCGTGGCAGAGCAGGCGAAGCAGTCTTGGATCTGGGCGCAGTCGGAGCGAAGGGAATTCGCGCCGGTTGGCGGGTTATCAAACCCGAAGGTTCGCACTAACCCGTCTTGCCCGGCCAACACTTGAACCGAGCCCATCCAGCTTGGCCCCGTCACCGCACACTGGGACACTGCCCCAAGGTCTAGTTGTTGAACCATTTTGGTGACTGAGAGCTGCCCGGGGGAGGTTGCACCGACCGAGAACGAAGCGGAGGAGTCGAGCGAGCCGTACAGTGTAACGGACGCTCCGAGGGGCAGGCTGGCTGGCGGGCCGGGAGCTCGAGAGACTGCGGTTAAGATAACCGTGTAGGTGACCAGCCCGCGAACGACCAGCGGTCCGTTTGTTGTGGCCGTCTTCGTGCCGTTGGCATCGGTCGAAAGTAACTGGAAACAGACAATGTAAATGAGCTGGATTCAGAGCACTACACGTACTTTCAAGAAATTATTCAAAGAACTCGCAGGCGTTATCATTATGGACTCAAATACAAGCCAAAAGGATGGGATTCTGTGCCGTCGACTGAATGGGCAACGTCTTACTTACTTTTTGCCGGTCCGTTAGGCACTTCAACGTCTCAGATTGAGGAGACTTACTCGAAACGGATTCATTTCTAAACAGTTCCCCAAGAACAAGTCAGAAAAGATCCCAACGGATCCGAAGCACCAGATTATGCATGGATACCCACATTGAACGCGACACAATCAGGCCTCACGATCAGGCTGTTCTCAAGATGCGATCATATAATTCGGCAGCTCAGAAGACAAGTCATAGCGCTTACCCTCAATGAAACAAGCGCCGAACGGGCCGCATCAGGTATCCTCACAACGAAGCTTCCAGTATTCGACACTGCAACCATCGGGAGCCCAATTTTGGACCCATGGTTCCACTCATCCGTTGCAGTCAGCTGCTGTGCAGACAGGGACGAAGCAAGCAGTTTGGCTTGCAGCAGAACGGTCCCGTACTGTATCCCCCCTCCCCAGGAAACGTTGTGCGTTTGCCCCGCTGTCCAGACGTCGAGCGGCGGTGGTTGACTGAGAAAGGGGTCGACATTCAAACAGGGGCTCGTATTGCACGTCTCCTGCACAACAGGTAAAGAAGGTATTCTTATGGGAATACCAGACGCCTGTGTGTAGTCGGTTCATGAATCCAGAGTCTGAACTGAAGAGACACCCAACCCAGTAAAGAGGCCTCGCGAAGGGCTCGTGAACGGATCCGCTAAAAGACGACGGTCGTTGCGGTGCGTTTCTAAGGGAGCCACTCAATTGTATCGATCCGTCAAGAAAAAGTGTTGGGCTGTGCTGGATTGCACAATCTCGCACTCCGAGATTGATGGACTCAAATTAGAAAACGAGCAGATGGACCGGACCGCCTTACTTGGGTGTCAGGTCTTGGAGCACCGGCACAGAAGGACTCCGCAACGAGGTTGCCGTCTGACGCCTTGCAGGCGATGTCTCTGACGTGCGTACCGCCCCCGCAGTCTTGACTGCACTTCTGCCACTCCCCCACCTAGAAGAGAAGCGCGACGTAATCCCGTTATCAGCTCCTCTGGTAGTCTATTTTTCCTTCCGGAAGTTGCGAGTATAGGTGTCAAGAAGTTCAAGGATCAGCGCATAGTATTCTACATAACATGATGTCCGCATGCTCCGGCCCGTCTAGACCTTTGCGCCTCCTCGCCTCCGTTTAGCTGGTGAAGATTTTAATAAGGGGGGTCTTCACGGAAGTGAAGTAGCTTGACTGCTGAGGGGTTCTTCTTAAGATCACAAAACAGAAGTTCTTCTGCGAGCATTTGTGAACTTTCCTTGGTACCGCCTGAGAGTTTCTACGAATGCCCCGTTTCACGACCGTCCTATCACAACGAGTGATAGAAATATTCATTTCCGATTCGGGGCACTCATTTGAATCACTTCCTAGATTTCAAAAGCAGACTTTACCTGTTCCTCAGCGGATGCGGCGAGGCGTGAAACGAGCAGCCGCATCCAAATGGAATGAATCACGACTCGGTTATTCAACTGATAACCTTCACCGAGTGGATTACCGACCTGCCAAGAGTAGGTCATGCACGGCTGGGTGTTGCACTCGAACCGCTTCCCGGTGGCCTTCGTCCGCAGAAAGCGTCTTCGCAATATTCCTCCTGCCTTATCCCCTTCCGCATCAGCCAGCCCCGGCACTGGAACTGCCGGTACTGGTCTCCCCCTCCGCAGGGCTTGCTGCATTCCATGCTGAATTCGACGACCCACTGGGCTTTTTCCGTACACTTGTCCTCGCAGTAGAGCCTGAGGCGCGAACACAAGAGTTTTAGCTGTAACCATGAACGGTTTTGGGCTGGTCAGAGAGCGGTCATGTGTCCAGAAACCAGACTTGGGCGGTAACCAGTCTTGGAACAAGATTAAGGCCCGACTGATTGACCCATAACAAGAGACTCCTCAGGTCTGGTAGTCAGCCCGATTAGCAACCAATACTCCCTGTGGAAGGCAGGGAAAAGGATTTGAGTCAACAGAGAAGGCGGATTTTCAGGGCATAGCAAGCCGGTACATGAAAACAGCCGTTCTCGGCCGATCCTCTGCAAACCAAACACAGGTTGGGCTGAAACAGTACTGAGAAAAGCGAGGAACTCTCACCCCTGCTTCCTGCAACACTCCTGATATTCGTTCCCCCGCGTGTCGCACCCGGTCCGGGTCCGCGCCCCGGTCCGCACGTCCGTGTAGTACATACCGCAAAACTCCGTTCCGTCGCCGTTCGGAAGACAGGAGCACGTGGTACACTGGTAGCCGCTCCCCGGAAGGCATATCGGCACGTTGGGGCACTGCACGCACGCCTGCGTGTTGCACGACAGCGGCGGGGCGGCCGGCTTGGCGGCCGCGTAGCAGAAGCTCGCGTCGACCGCCGTTCCGTTTCCGGCGTTCGCGCAGAACGTGGTCCGCGTGCGGACGCCCCCCCCGCAAGACTTGCTGCGTGCAGACCGCGACGGAATTAGAACGGCGGGAGAACGTCTCTAGATGTTAGTCAAGAGTTTCGATTCAGCGAGCTGGCTGTCTGCGGGGTGTCTAGCTGCCGTTTCGTCGAAAAGGAGGCAAGGTTGGAGCAGCGCAATGGAGTACGGCCCAGAAATTGTTGCAGTCAATCGGACGGTTCAGAATCGTCTCTCTTTGGCGGACCTTGGGAAGCTGCATTTCACCTACCTACACGCGCCGTAGTCGCCCTGCTTCCAGATGTAGCCGTTCATATCCAGCGCGCCGTATACGGAGAAGAGGTCGCTGAACGCAAAGTTTCCGGCGTCGCTTTCCGACGCGAGCAGCAGCTCGAAGCCGCGGCTGGTGGGGAGGCCCCCGTCGATCGCTCACGTGAACGTTCCGCTGTTCGGGACGCCTTCCGCCGGAATGCCGAAGCCGGAAAAGACGTCCGGGCTGTCGTCGAAGCGGTAGCGCAGGACCACTTTTCCGGACGCAGGCCCTCCAGACCACCGGACGGCAAAGCTCTGGCCGGCCCGCAAAGTGTCCGCATACGAGGGGCGGCTGAAGGCGATCTGCGTCTCCTCCGGAGCGCAGCGGTCCGTCCAAAAGTCGCGCGCGCACGCCGCTTCGGACTGGATGCACGCACCGGCGCTCGCGCACCAGCCGCAGACGGCCGGGCCCGTCAGGCACGTGCGGCAGTCCGAAAAGGCTCGGCACGGGTCGGACGTCCGGCAGTCGCCGGCGTCGTGGCCGCAGGCTGCCACGTTGCACTCGGCGTTGCAAACGCCGTCCGCAGGCTGACAGGTAGCGGGACAGGAGGGCGCCACGCTGCACGCGCTGGAGGCGGGCGGCTTGGCGCCGGCGTCCTTGCAAAGGGCGTCCGCCATCGCGAAGTTGGGCTGTCCGTCGGCCTGGCACGTGACGTCACGCTTCCACACGCTGTCGGCGCCGCACGTGCCCCAAGGGCCCGCCACCCACTTATATAGAGGGTCGGAGCCCAGGGTGTGTATGCAGCCGGAGCAATAAGCGCAGGGGAGATAGGATTTGCCGATCAGGCGGAGGCTTTTTCGGAAGGGTATAATGCTGCCGCCCACGTTGACCTTCACCTTCCCCAGCGGAATCTCAAGCCTGCAGAGTAAAAGAAGCTTTCTGAATATAAGTACTTCAAGGGTTTCCACGTGCTTTCAGTCCTGCGTTTGACAAGCATCATGTAATACAATATCACAAATCCGGAGGTGCAAAATTTGACGCCGCCTCGAATGCTTGGTCCATACCTTGAGCTTCATTTTTGTCGTTGGTCGAAGTTACAGGAGCTTCGAAGAGAGGTCAAGACTTGAAGTGCCTACCACATGTTCCTGTGCCGCTGTTTCTAGGAAACGCATTTTGCTCGGATCAATGATCGAGAAAGTAAGGAAGAACCGAGAATACAGAAGAACCGTTCTGTGCTCCTTACAGGATCAGCAGGGGCGCTCAGGACAGTGTTTTGTGTCAGGAATGTGCGGGAAAATGTGCTTCTTACGACATGAACTGCCACGGTGCACGACCTTTGAACGACGCAAGTCAAAATCTGCGAAGCCCATCTTCGTTTAGAAGGAGAAGTCCGTTTCTGTGTTGCTGGGAAGTTCAAATGTTGATAATCGTAGGCCAAATGGGCCCTGGGCCTATAGAATCATTGACGCAAATGATCTGCGCTTACTTGTCGAGCCCCAGGGAGAGGTTGAGCCCGGAGTAGATCCTATAAGAGATCGGGCAGCTCTTCTGGATGCGGGTTAGCGACGTCGCAAACTCGACCCCCAGATAAGGCGCCGGCGCGATAACCACCGGTATCGCGTCATACAGCTTCAGCGTCACTTCCAGAATGAGCAGCCCCTCAATCATTGCCTCGCCTTGGAAAGACAACGTGGGCGGGTGCAGGTTCAGGCGCGCGAAGGCTTCCGGTTGCACCGGCCGGAACTCCCCCCACGCCTCGCGGAACTCCTGCCCGAACTGCAGCCGCTGCTGGTAGTCCACCCCGAAGGTCGCGCCGCCGCGCACCGCGGCCGCGAGGTTCGCGCGCGCGTACAGCTGGATGCTGGGCAGGATGACGAGCGGCACGGGGCTGCCATTATGGTGAGCGTGCTGAACGCGCGGTTCGGGCCGATGGGCTTGCTCCAGTTGCTGCGGAAGGCGGAGAAGCTGAACTGCGCGTCGAAGTCGGCGTTGAACTTGAAGTCGCCGCCCACAACGACCTTCATCCAGTCCAGGTACACCGGGACGAGCGACGCCTGCAGAGATCTCAACGTTTAGGGTCTCAAAAGTTCGGGTCGCGGTTTCTCTGTTAAGGCCGTGCGAAACGAGGGGGAGCCTGCAGCAGCTTTGCAATCGGTTGGGAGTTTAATGCTTGGGGTGGTGGGTGCTGGATTGATGGTCCTTCGTATCTATTCGGGCTCGACTAAACCTGCAGACAAGCGTACGGATCCAGAAAGTGGGACAATTGTGGAAAAGCGGAGACCAACATTAGGAGAGACCAGGAAGCAATCTGTCTTGCCGAGAAGATGACATTGACTTTCTCAACTCAACTTTCCACGTAGAAGTTTGCAACGAAACTTAGACGCTTGAAGCTGACAATTCCGAGAAGTTGACAACGTCTCTGGTTGCTAACTTAGTCTATATGAATGAAGACGAGAATTTGCTTTGGTGATCAAAGACTGGCACTCAGGAAAAGGAGGTTGAGTCACCCATCTGAATGACGTGGCCGTTTCACTCACTTGCCGCTTCAGCACGATGTCGACGCTCACTCCCGCCTCCAGCGTTGCATAGCAGTTGACGCACGTGACGCGCGCGGACTCCTTTGTATTGAAGCCGTTGCTCTGAGTTGCCGTCTTCGCATACAACACATCGTTTTGCAGAACCGCCCGCTGCGTCGCCTTATCGTAGTTGAATTGGAACAAGTCCCAGTTCTGGCCGCCGTGCCAGTCGAACCGGCCGTTAATTGCGAGGTTTCCCACCACGTCAGCGGCGATAACCACCGCCTGACCCATTTTCTTGACGCCTGACACGCCGGCATCCACAACTTGACCGGCGGTCTTGACGAGGGTCTTCACAAAACCGAACTGCAAGAGCTTGCGCCGCGCATGACGTAAGTCGTCCCCGGGACTGTCGGGGGACCCCTTGCAGGGAGTATACCTGCGACGGAAACAGATGTAAAGGTTTTCGGTCCTGACAAAACTCTCCAATCTCTGGCTGCCTTTTGCATCAGTACCACATACTGTACCTGGAAAACGGGTTTGAGATATCGTTACAACGGCAAACCTCTTCAAGGAATTCTCCTGTTTTGCAGGACCTCAGAAAGCTGATTTCCGGACTGGAAAGGGAAGTAAAACTGCTTCGCCTTTTGGGAAACAATCACGCACTCTTATGAAGCGCATCCGTGCCTTTTTCTAGTTACAGAGATCACGCCAAAGCTCTAAGGATGACGTTCATGAGGTCTTTTCGAACTCGAGTTTCTTTGGCGCTGGGAACACATAACCAAGCTGGGCATGCTTTCAAATGAGATCACAAGGATTGGCAGTCCACTCAAGCAAAGCGCAGGCTCAGACAAGACAAGCCCACATGGAAAGATGTCTCGAGCACTGACTTGAACGATATCTTGGCCCCACGGAAGCAGTGGACCATCTCTCGGTGGTGCGTCTCCATGATGACGTCACTGCTTTCGTTGTCCGGAAGCACTCGGAGCAGTCGCCGGTAGAAAGGCGCCGGCTCCCCCTCCTCGTCCGTACAGTTCCACTCCAGGCCCCCCACCAGAGTCGCGCCCGTCGGCCACGTTGGCAAAGGAGCGCCGTCGATTACGGACACGTGGAGCTCGTTTCGAAAGCACCTAGGAGCAAGACGTGGCTGCATCAGCTTAGCTGGAGCCTTGCAGATCCAAAAAAAGTACTCAGCTTGAAGCGGATTTTGTTCACAGCGTTTGGTAGGTGCCTTTGCAAGAGAGGGACTACTTGAGACTCAGTCAATGCTCTGTCACCAAGCATGATTCGGAACGCAGATTCTGCACGAATTCAGGATTAGAGATTGCTTTTTGTTGGGGGTTTGTAAAAACAGAGCTCACTAACTTGATGCGCGAACGTCGGAAGCTTATCCTTTACGTTGAAAGGTCACACTAGTGGGTACTCCAACTAGACTTGAGCTCCAGATAGGGTAAACATATCACCCCTGTTTATGGCCTCACCCCTGACTTGACCTTGAGAGAGCTTGCGCTTGCTGCCGCTTACTCTGCACATTCTCATCCAGCTTGCAAACGGCAGTGCCAACTTAACTCTACCCGCAGTTCCTCTCCTCACCTCACGCCAGAGATGACGTCCGCATGGTTCGCAAGGTTCACCAAGTTTGCCACCGTGCGGACGTCATACTTGATGTGGAGCAGGCTGCCCTTGCCGTCGACGATGTGCATCGCGTTGTAACGATGACGTCCCCCGACCTCGCTCTGCTCCTCCTCGTCTTCCAAGACCATCCCCGGATGACCATGCGCGTTGTAAGTGATCTGCGAGTCCAGGTCCATGAACTGCGCATAATCGTCCAGCTTATCGTCTGTACCATCCCACTCATCCACTGCAGCTGAAGCAGAGCTCACGTGAGAAAGTGTGAGGTAGATGAGCAGAGCTGCAAGCAGCGGTTGAGGGAGCCGGACAGACTGACGCGCAGCGTTACTCGGGGAAGGCGCCATGACACGTGTCCTGCTTTCGAGGCACGTTCCTAGCCAGGTGAGGGATAGGTTGCGCTCTGATGTGATTCACTTTATCTTCAAGGTATGGTAAAGTGGTCCCTGCTAGATATCAGAATTGATCAGCTCCTGCTATCCCGTCAGAATAAAGAGCTCCGTTTAGTTTAGTTGCAGAACAGCGATTGGAAAAATGGTGGAGTGATGCATGGGCTTTACACGTCCCTCATGCAGAGATCAAGCTGATTGAGCACCAACAAGCGAGCGCTGCGTTTATCTCAGCGTAGGCGTTGCCGTCTTGTTGCCTCTGAAACAATGATGGGTGGTAAGACCACAAAGCTGAAATGCTCCAAGTACTTGCTAATGATTCAGGTATTTGCATTGAGCTGGGACGAAACAAAGGCGTGCCATTGACACTTCAGCTCATCCCAAGAGGAGTACAAGTGCTTGCAATTTGGGTGGTGCGCCGCAGACTGGTAAAAGATGCTACGTGAGTGTGATACACTGTGATCATACGTGTATTTAGCAGCCGGATGTTGCAGGTTGTACACATACCTTGTGAGAAACAGCTCAACGCTCTCAAATGCAAAGATTGACCTCATAGGTATGTTATCTTTTCATGGTTAGACGTAGGCCCGCGCTGCTACCTAACTAACTTGAGTAGCCAAGAGGTAAGATCGTTTACGCCGGTCTGACTGACCATGCAAGGAGCCCTGTCTAGTCTCTGTACGTCTGCTAACACTGCTACAGGATCTATTGCTTTTTTACCACTGCTAGGTCTTGAAGTTGAGGGCTCGAGAGTTTCTTGGATTGACAATCGCAGAAGATGCATGATGGAGCAAAGATGGAACGGCGCTTGCATCTGACAAGAGCACATGGCAGTTGACAACCTGATGGGCCTGCTGGTCGTTGCAATTCAACCTCCACCATAAGAATTTGGCTACTCAGGTGTCCGTACAACAAGCCTTATCCTCCAACGAATCGATGATCATTGCACTACGTACTTCTGCAGAGTTGACGCGCATGAATGATGCACTCAACGGCTATGGCATATGCAGTTGAAAATGTGAACATCTTGCGCACGTCTGAAAGCGCATGTAGGCAGAGAGAGCGTCATGACGCATACTGGCGAGTAAGCTACTCGCATACTCGTCCGACTCAGCTGAGTCCAACTCCTCGAAATGGTAGGTAAATTCAGGCTCGCGCATGAAATATCGACCGCCCTCATCGAGTCCGTCAATTCTGAAGTTGCATCTGAAGCGTCCACTCGGACAGGGTTACAACTTCAACTTTAACGCGCGTGGCAACACTGAGGGGCGATTCGCACCCGCAGCATTTTAACTTTCCGATAAGCTTCTTATCGGATCGGTAAAGTTTAACTTTTCGATAAGTCCTTATCGGTACTTTGCTTATCGGAAAGTCACGCCGATCCGATAAAG